AAATTTCTCTCATTGCACTCTGCATAGCATTGTCTTCATAAGCAGAAGAGTAGGACGTAAAAATCCATTCATTTTCAAAATTTGATTTACCATTTTCGTGTCCTATTATTTTGTGAACTTGTTTACTAGTCTAATATCAATAGGGAACTAGATAATCCTTTCCACATGTAGACACGAGACTGAGGCTTAACAAAATCCCCATATCCTTGACTTCAAACCTACAGATCTCATTTCAGTCTTCCTCTCAATTTGAGGTGTTGTTTGGGATATATTAAAAGGTGTTTGAGTCCATTGAAGTTAAGCTCATATATTGTGTTTACATTGTACATAGATATCCCAAATTTCACCCCAAGGCACATAAACTTCTATTAGTATTAATGAAATACATGCATCTGCATATTATAAACCTGTTGATCTTTGGTGTTCAGATTTCGTGAAGCTGTGAGGGCTAAAGTCAGGTCTCGCTCAATAATGGTCTGACCATTTCACTATGTGATCAAATTACGTGGTTAGTATTCACACCTTTCAAACAATCCTATTGAATACACCAGCCTTTGTTTGCCATGAATTAAATGAGATAGACCACAGCTTAATAGTGCTACCTGTGTGCTTCCATAGTCACTTTCTCATTTCTGAACTCTTCTTTAAAAAGGTATTTTTGGTATAAATTAGCTTGTCAACTGTTATGAAATTTTGACAAATTACTTTTAGTCAAGGTCAAATCAAAATAAGGATTCATCATCTTCAAAATGTAAATATTTTTGCCTTTAACTTTCAAAAAAATTATTTAATTCAGAATTTTAAACCCGTTCAGAAAAGTGAAAAAAAAAGTGATGGATGAGAAATTGTGAACATGATTTAAACAAGTATATCATTCTGTCACATTTGTAAAAATTTCATTTTTTTTAGTAACCTTTGCCACAAACTTGACATTTGCATCAATCACTTAAATTGTTAAATGTATGTCTATATACCAGTCCTACAATAATCCTCCGAAAAATTCATGATCCATCCAGCCTCAAGTCCTTGTGCCACCATGAACTGTTAGTTGAAGTTGTATATGTAACTTCATCCTTCTGTCTTATGATAACTTTTAAAGTGTTTAAAATCCAAGCTGAACCAAATTGAACCTCCATTCAGCTATGACTGGTGCAATACAAGATTTCAGATATATAGCAAATTCAAATTCAAGTCACATCAAAATAGTAATGTTTAACATTGCAGTTTAGTGCTTTTGTTAGTAAACCCTTAACATGATTGGCAATTTCAAACAAATCAACAGCTCTGTTTTGAAAAAAAAATAACTCTATTCAGTAAGTGCATGCTGGTTATTGTCTTCTAGCCATTATGAAGGTCTACCACCAAGATAATACTTCTTTGATGATATTTTCATTAAAATGCTTACATTCTGGGTTAAAAGGGGTGATAAACTCTGAATATTTAGCCGTTTTTTTGCCGCCAATGTATTATAAAATGGTTTAGTCAGCAGATTACCTGAATAGTTTGATATTGTCATGTTAAAGATGAAAAGTGTTTTGGGTGGAACTAAGTTTTATAAATAACTAAGTAATCTGGAGTAGAGAATAAAGATTTCTCTACATGTGGGTAAATACTCTCCACATTGAGTTGATATCTTTCATTGCTTTTCAGTATTAGTAGATCATGAACTACAACTTTGTGTGTTGGAAGGGCATTACCACTCTTTGAACATTGATTTTCGAAGCATGAATGTCTGATACACTGAGGGTGCTGAATTGATTTGACACCGTACAAAGATAACTTAACCATTATGTTTTTTAAATTACCTTAAAGTATCTCATTTGTATTAGTTAACGTGTTTAGTGCTTTAAATGCACCAATTATGTCTGGTTCCAGCATAGTATAATCTGAAAGCTGACCTACAGAATGGTAAAAATGAACTACGTAAAGTTGTAATTTGACAATAATTCAATGAAGTTACTTCTACTTCTGATGGTTACAAACATTAAAATCTTTGATGGTTTAAATTATTCTTAAAGTTGTAAAAGATCTGAAAGCTGACTTATGAAATAAGAATAGAATGTCTATGTATACTGCTAAGGATGCCTGTTTGAAACATGAATTCGCAATCATGTAATGGCACCATTTAAAAGTTTAAAAGATAAAAGGTCTTTTGTGGTTTTAGACAATTACAGATCTACTTTGTATCTGTCTCTATTTAATTTTAAAGGTTACTACAAAAAACCAGAAACACCATGAGAAAATTGACTAGTAACTCTCCAAAATGCAAGGTGGATGTGAATGAACACTGTCTTCAAGTGCGCTTGCCAAGATAGCATCTTGACAGTATGCATTAAGATGTCTGATATAAGATGTATTGATACATGAATATACCATCATGAAAGATTATCTTGCAGGATGTATTTCTGCTAGACAATAACAGCTTTATTTCTTAATTTCTGTTTAATGAACAGCTAAAATCCACCTGTTGTGAAATAAGTTAAAACTCAACATGCCAAGTTTGCTAGACAAGTGCCTAGTTTGTTTTAAAAGTTGTTATTTTATAGAGCAAAGAGTACCATTTTTCTTGAAATATCCTGACATCTCCACAGGTTTCTTGGCAACAAGAAAATATTCAGTGCTGAAGCAGAAAATCTATCCTTGAGGTACCTTAGATAGATATTTGAATTTCTGTTCTCAAAACAAAAAAAAGATCTGCTCAGAAGATAAATACTGGTGGGAGCATTTTTTAAATTGGGTCAAAACTTTAGTTTTAGTAGAAATCATGTAAGCGATACAAGGAATACAGATTGTATTTAAAGGTGCCCTCACAGCATAGCAATGACCAGTGTTGTATGGTTGCTAATAAGAATAGTGGTTATAAGTTGCAAACACAACTCACAACTGGTGAATGCTATGGTGTGAGGGCCACTTTTAAAAAAATAGTTTATTTTGGATCCAATAGGGTATTTTCACATGTTTTCAAAAATTCCCCAAAGTGTATTTGTGCTGGAGGTGATTTATTCACAACATAAGGGGAAATATTTTGAATTTTATGTAGTGTAAAGCAATAGCAGTTTGATGTAATTTCCACCTTTAATGTCACCAAATTCTAGAATGGAAGTTTCTTAATCTAAAATAATTTGACCATTAATTTTGCTTCCTGTCATGGTCTTTTTAACAGAATCTTCAAACATTGTAACTTGAAATTTGTATTCATGTCAAACAATGTGCAGGTATATTACTGCACTAAATACACATTATACAATGGCTAAAGTCTTAAAAATAAATATTTAACTTTGTCACCAACATGTGAAGACATTTAATGACATCTTCAAACCAACAAGAGTTAAAATCCAAAACTGTGGTTGCTTAAATTGAGAACATGATTGCAATGAATGTGTTCAAAATCAAAAGCAATATTAACAAACCACAGTGTCATATGGAATTCAGTTTTAAGGCAGACAGTATTTTGTGAGTCAATATTAGTTTTTAGGTGCATATACAACTTATTCATTGCAAAACAGAAACACAAAATACCTTTGAAAAAGTGCAGTCATGCAAGGATGTTAAGTTTATTAATTTTCCAATTACTAATTCTTGTGTACAATGCTTGCGATTGTTCAAGGTTGGTGGAATATAACCTAAATACCTGGTTTTGTGAAGATGTGTTTAAACCTGCTTCCTTTGTAATATCCATCCTTCTTTTATGGCAGTTTGTTATTTGTAGTAAATTCTCACCAAGGTAGAGAAATAATTTTGGCGCCAATGTCAGTATTGGCTAACAGATTATGTCCATATGATGCTTTATATTTTTCTGATTTCTCCAATTATTGGATGTATTAGAAGGTTACAAATTTTTATATGTTTTTATGGTTTTAAAGAGGCAAACACATACTAAGGAACATGTCATCAATTTGGTGATATTTACTACTCTAAAGAGCTGTTACACTGTTAATGCTCAATATGATATGACATAATGCTAAATCTATCCTACTTAAAAACATGATATCAATCTGCAAATTAGTCTGCTGGTACTATTTTATCATTATGTCTATGTCTTTAATTTTGGAAACTCAAATATATAAAATATGTATCTTATAGAAGTTTACAGTGTTAAGCCATCTTGTTGGGGAACCCATCTTTAAACTGCAATCTGGCCGATATTGATGTATGTAAATGTTAACATATTGAGAGGTACTGGAAGGATTAAGAAACCTATTTACTCAGATGTTGAGGTCAATTTTTAAATCTTTTTAGTCAAGTAAATAATCTTATGTCACCATACCTACAAGCTGCATTACCCTACATCTTCAACCTCATCACTAGCTCTCCCACGAAGGCAAAATGTCCGTAAAACATTTGTCTTAATGGACTAGAAATAGAAATTATAGAATTAATCACTTATTTCAATTAAAGGGTATTTATTGCCCCTTGAGGCTTCCATCTTTTGATGCCTCTAGTCAATGACGTCTGCTAGAGTATACTCATAATATTATTATGTTTATTTTGCATAATGTGACATGTCCCTTGAGGAAGGGTTATTATTGTTATGGGGATTGTTGAGTTTCACTTTGAACACCTGTGTTTGCTACTCTAGGGTTCTTATGCATCTGTCTTTTGTAGCAGCACATGTTCAAGACTTCTTCCATGCTTCACATGTCATTGTCCTCTAAGATTTATTATAATTATAATGACAATCATAATCCTTGGAGGAATCTTGAGGACGCAATTGACTTTAAATCTTCATTAAGGGTTTCTAATTAATTCTCTTTCAAATAGTTAGATTGTCAGGTTTTCAATGTATGTTTGTAATGTCTTACTATCCTTTATATCACGGCACCGTTCCAAAAAACCAAGATGATAGCCTACAGTGCCACTTGATACAGATGGTTTTGTATTTATCCATTTTATAACATCCGAAGCATACATCTTTTATTTTAAAATGTGACTGTCAAAGGCATTAAGCTTCCAGTGCCTGTGAACAATGAACTTATTTTTCAATGCTTTCTATATTACAGACACTGGATTAACTTGTAGTTATAATGGTGTAGAATATAGTGATGGACAGAGCTGGCAACTTGATAAATGTACCACTTGTACCTGTAAAGATAGTTTAACATTCTGTAAAACTAAAACATGTAACCCGACATTATGTGGTTGGATGGTCATTCCTGATGGTGAATGTTGTCCTGTTTGTAGAGGTAAGTTCACATTTTGTTACTATCCTGTTGTTTTTCCTGTCAATTTCGTATATCTCAAGAATGCTGTGGTGATATTGTAAAGTTAGGTTCACAATGCATTAGTGTTTGCTCATTAGTTCACACAGTAGTCCATAATCCACATTTCTGAATGTCCATTTTAAAGAGGTAAGTCCACATTTCTGTATGTCCATTTTAAAGAGGTAAGTCCACATTGCTGTACATCCTTTACAAGAGGTAAGTCCACATTTACATATGCTTGCTTTCTTGATGTAAATAGATGAAAGTTCAGTTAAATGTCCTTTTATAAAAGCAAGTTCACTTGAATGTCCTGTTGCAGGGTAGGGGTCAGTATATTTTTCTAATATTATAAGTTCTATTCTGTTTTGCTGGATGAGTAGAGCTTGTTTTTTTTTTCTGGAAGTTTGTAAGGAAATTATACTATAAATGACAATATAAACTGATATTTCATGGTTTTATGAGATTATCTTATACAACTAATATCAATCAACAGATAAATGATTTAATATGTCATTATATAGTGATGTATTATTATAAGTATCTATGGTATGTAGCAGTGTGTAAACACTATAAGGTATTAGAGTTGACAGTAAACCTATCAGAATAGTCTAGAAATAGAAAATATCACTTTTTATCTCAATAAATCATGATATTCTTATCAATTCATTAGAAATTTTCAGATAAAAATCATACAGGAGTCTCTATAGGAAAAATTTGATTTAAAACAAAAAAATAATCTGAGATTTTGGAAAACAAATAAGCTTAATATTGAATTCTGCTATTTTAACACCTCAGAAGATTTTGCAGCATATCTACATGTTATTCAGATTTAGTACTATTTATGATCGGTGAAAACCCTTAAATTAGGCAATACTCATGAAAACTGTCATCACTCCATAATAACAGCTCCTTTTCTTCTTGAATCATCTTTGAATATTTATTACATTATAAAAATTAATTATTCCTCTATGAAATGTTGCTTATTCTAATTTTTTGCTTGGAAAATCTCAAACTCAACAAATAGATTGAATTGATCTATTTTACAGGTTGTGTATCTGAATCTGGTCAATTATATAATAATACAGAAGTTTGGAAAGAAAATAGTTGTGTTTCCTGTCATTGTGATATGGGTCATGTGTTGTGCCAGGCTGAGATGTGTGCTGTCCAATGTGCTAAACCCCGACAAGTACCAGGCCAGTGTTGTCCAGTTTGTGATGGTGAGTAATGATTATCATAGTTATAACAATGATTATAGTAAAGATTTAATGAAGAAAATCTTTATGCCAGCAATTATAATAGTTATAATGATGAAGATTATATTAGTTATGACTTTGATGATAGATATATTTATGCACAAAATGATGATGGCATTAAAGATGATTATAAGTCATGATTTCATGAAGAATGTCTTTAGTTATCAAATGATGATTATTATTATAATGATTGCATTGATAATCATCATCTATGATAATGATGATAATGACAATACAAAATGCAAGTGTGAAAAATAAACAAAAACATAAGTTTACACTTAAGAAATTAAATTTGTGACAAATTCACCAAAACTGTCTTGATTTGTCTTTCTTCTACATATTTAGGCATGCATTGCTATTGCCTCTTAAACTTGCTATGCTGTGGCTTCAAACTTTGTCCCATATGGTTTATATGCATTTAACAAATTATATGCCAGATTTTAGTAAGAAAAGTTGATGTTGGCTCATCTCTTATTTCCCTTCTTTTTTCTCCTACAACAAGAATTTCACACAGCACTTGAAACCAGTCTGTGATTATTGTTCTTTCTTTAATCTTATAGATGAAAGCTTGATCTATCCACCACGATTATGTTCTGATACAGACAACTGTAGTTTAGATTGTCCTCATGGTCTCCAAAAAACTGATGAGGGATGTTTTCTGTGTCAGTGTAAACAAGGTATGCTTGTTTATTGTCTTATTTTACTTTTAATGGTGATATTCTTGTCATGGATCAAGACACTCTAACTTTTGCCTGTCTTAAACCTTTTAAAAGTTCTTTGGTTTTTGAATTAGGTTTTTATTTAGGGAAGTAGTATTGACTCTGATCTCTTAGTATGAACTCAACAATTCCATGTATTGAAGATGTCTTTCATCTTGAATCAATTTGACGAAAATCAGCGCTCTGCTCATGTAGATAGTTGAAAATTAAGAAAGGGTAGGCCAATGCCATTGCTCAGGCAGAAATTGCTTCATAGCACACTAGTCCAATGGTTAAAATCCAATCAGGATCAGAAAAGTAGGATGAAAACACCATTTCTGTTTAGAGCCTCACTCGAAAAAATGACCTACTGATCAAATTTAAATGTTCAAAGGTTAGAGGGTTTCTGAAAACATGACCCAGATATTTCAGATCATCAAACTCTTTGAACAATTATCAAATTTCAACTCAATTTAATGTTTTTGGTAACTTTGTTTATTGTTTGGAAAATTTTATATCTTTCATTTCATAGTTTGTGGTCAAATAATAACAAATCTAAAGACTGAAAGAAAATTTATTTTGAAAACAAAATATAATTGATAAGTGTATGATGACTGATAATTATATTGTAATTTTGTATTCCGAAACGACACCATGTCTTCTTTCTCAAAAATCATGGGAAAAAATATGGAAATTACAAAGGTTTAGTTCCACTTTATGCCCAAAAACGTCTCTTAAATTCGATTTTTCTTTCAGAAATTTGTACAATAGAGTGTAAATATGGAAAGAAATTAAATGAAAAAAGTGTCGAAATTTGTGAATGTATAGAACTTTCAAAACATTGTCCATCCATGGATAATTGTGAAAAACAGTGTACTTATGGTTTTCGTAAAACACGTAATGGATGTTTAAAATGTCGGTGTAATCGCTGTCCGCCATTTAATTGTACCAAACGCTGTGTACATGGATATATTTATAATGATCAGGGCTGTCAACTCTGTAAATGTACAGGTAATAAGAAATTTTAAAATTGTACAGAACTATGAGAAACTCAGCAGTTTATATTATGATTAAAGTGCCACTCAAACAAACCTCATGTTGTTGATTTACTTTGAAAAGCAGGTATTTCTAGACTTAGATAAATGAAAGCATGAAATGTTTTTCAAATGATCAGCCATGGATGTTCAACAATTTATATAGAAAACTGTTACTTTCATTGCCAAAATCAGGTCCACAATAAATGAAAAAAATCTAGATATTGATAAATTAACCATAATTTTGACATTTATTTCATTTCAGAAGCACCAGTCTTACCCACTTTACCCCCATTATTTGAAAATGGTACTTGGGGTGAGGAAGGACAAGCTTGTATGTCTCAATCTGGTCAACGTCATGAAGATGGTGAAAAATGGCATGATGGATGCCGTCTGTGTTTTTGTTTAGCTGGCCGTGAAATGTGTTCTTTAATAGCATGTGATGTACCTAAATGTGCTAACCCGGTGTTTAGAATAGGAGATTGTTGCCCTTCTTGCCCAGGTCAGTAAGATTTTATGATTTCATTTCTTGATGGCGGTCATAATTTCAGAATCTGTATATATAGCAATGTAGAATTCTCTGATATTTACTGTGAAATGACCATTCCTCTGTAAATGATTTCTTATCTGTAAAAGATGTGTCTAGAAAAGTAAGCAAAAATCAGAAATATGTGGATAATGCTTTGAAGAATCAAATCCTACCCTGTGTCACCTACCATTACAAAAGAAGCCACCCTTCATTGGCCAAAATTATTTATGATTACATACATGTAATTCTTTTTTATCAGTTGACATGTTTGGCCATAGAATAACATGAAATTGACTCAGTCCAATTTTAAATTGTTAATTTTTCTTTTTACAGGAGTTGAATTCTTGCCGAGTATAGGGAAGAAAGAGTCTTGTCAGAGTGTGTCTGGTCAACATTTTGTTGAAGGTGAAATCTGGCAGATGACTGATTGTACACAGTGTATCTGTCATGATGGTACTATATTATGTGAATCTGAATCATGCCCACCGGTACTGTGTAACCATCCAGTCAAACCACAATCACATTGCTGTGCAGTATGTCGAGGTAAACATAGATTCTTTTTATATGCTTACTACTGAACCACTGATTAATTGTAAAAACCTGAACTATTGATCAATTATTAACACCAAACCACTGATCAATAATAACCAGCTAGCTGAACCACTGATCAATTATAACCATCCAGCTGAACCACTGATCAATTATAACCACCTAGCTGAACCACTGTTTAATTGTAAAAGCATGAACCACTGATCATATTTTGTACATCTGAACCACCTGAAACATCTGAACCACTGAGCACGTTACAAACACTTGAATCACTGATCAAGTTCTGCAACAACTCATCATGCTCTAAATACCTGAACCACTGAGCAAGTTCCGAACACCTGAACCACTGATCATGGTCTTTAACACTTACACCCCTGGTCTTTAAGTGATCAAGATATTAAAAAATAAGTTCAATGGTTTGGGCACTAAAAATGGCTTATAATCTTTTTGGACAACAAACTGGATGCAAGGTAGTGCATGTTAAATGTCTTTCAGCAGACCGAAAATGACCAAAAAATGAATCTGTTATGGCATCTTTCCCACAAAGATTGTCATTAGATTACTAAGGATTAGACGAATAGGTCATGATTTATTTAAAATATTTTTCAAGAGCGAGAAAAATGCCATCTATATGTCAATGAACTGTAATCAGTAGTTTGTAAAAGTAATTGCAAGAATGAAAATATTTAGATAATGTAAATGAATATTTCTTATCGTAAAAATGAAATGTTAGAGGAGAAATATGTAAGTTATGTTATTGATGAGTGGGGTAAAATATTTATAAAGCATGTTACACTCCTACTTGTAGAAGATTGAGTGCCAACTTCTCAAAATTGGTTTCCCACCAGCATACAATATATTTAGATCTGATAAGTATTGTAGCTCTTGAAGATAAAACAGATTTTGTAGCTTAATTTTGAATAGTTATTCTTATTATTAAAGATAAGAAATGCTCCCCTAACAAATCCTAAAGAGGAAAATGTTAAAATGATAATTAAAGTTTGCGTCCCTTCAAAATAAAAAGAAAAAATTTCTGGTGTGAAGATCTTATAGTAAAGATTAAATGAATTGACATACATCTCAATAATAACATAACCTCTAGAATATAATATATTTAAGTCCTGTGCCTTTGCTTTCTTAGCTTTTTCATTAGTTACATTTGCTCCCTATTCCTATTCCAAAGGATATATATTTCACTAGAGAATTCTTATAGAACATGTTAAGAACATTGGGAAATACATTTAAAAGCATTTTTAACACTAAATCTAAAGAAATTTAACTGACTCTTAATATATTGTAAATATTAAGAGGTATTCATCTTGAATACTTGTATTTTAATGTTAAAAACAGATTACTATGTGATGATGAAACACTTCTTATGTTTAACTTATCATGTCTGATTTTTACATTATCTTCTTACACATTCTAATAAGTTTATTCTTCACTTGCTTAGTGTTGATAATCATTTGATTACTCTTAAAGAGACAAACTTTAATTTTCACTAAGTTAATCTTTGATTATATATATTGTTTATTAGTTTTTTGGATGATTTCACAACTCTCAAAGTTGAATTCACATTATTAGACTTTGATAATAACACTCTGACCTGATATTAGACAACTCTGAACTGACATAAGAAGACTCTGAACTGACATAAGAAAACTCTGAACTGACATAAGAAAACTCTTACCTGATATAAGAAAACTCTGAACTGAAATTAAACTGATCTAACAAAACTCTGACTTGACATTAGAAAACTCTGAACTGACATAAGAAAACTCTGAACTAACACAAGACAATGCTGTATTGACATTAGACAATTTCAGCTGTCATTAGAAAACACTGAACTGGAATTAGAAATGACTCAATTGGCATTAGATGACATAAGTAACTGCTCAGTGGACATTGGAAAACATGCAAGAAATTTTGCTGCATTGCAGCTTATTGAAAAACATCAGTTAATTACCTAGCAGATGTCAATGTTTTGTTTTCCAATTCCTAATTCCAACAAATATCTGTTTGTTTTGGCTCCTTTTCAATTTTAAAGTATTTCACTCGTGAAAAGTGTTTTGTTCTGAACAATTGTTATTGATAGTATTAAATGCGATAAGTAAATAAACACTATAGACAATATAAGATAGAAATTAAAAATGGATTCCCACAGGTAGTTTAAGTTTTCTATGAAATAGATATGTCAGCTTTTTGAAATTAGACCCGTTTTACAATTGGATAATCATCTGTTTCTGGTCTGCTAGTAATTTTCAATTAGAATTCAATTTTGACGTTAAAATATGTAAATATAGGTATATCACCATGATATATACAATGGTTTTATTATTAGTAGTAGCAAAAGAATACTCTACTGTTTCATGAGTCATTTTATATAATTTTTTGTTACTTGCACGTTTTTTCCAAATTGAAAGCAATTATAAAATTCAATGAAAGCTACATTGACTTAATTCAAAGTTAAATTTAAGGGTTTTTTTATTTAATGAAAAGGTCCGTGAAAACTTTATTTGATAAATCTGAAGTCTAGTGAAAGCTATATATATTAAATGAAAAGTCAAGAGAAAGGTATATGTATAAAATGAAAAGTCCAGTAAAAGTCATCTATTAAAAGAAAGTCTAATGAAAGTTATATTTATAGGTGTATGTATAAAATGAAAAGTCAAGTAAAAGACATCTATTAAAAGAAAATCTAATGAAATTTATACTTATTAAAATGAAAAGTCCAGTGAAAGCTATATGCATTAAATAAAAAGTCCAGTGAAAGCTATATGAAAATTCATTAAGAGCTATAATTATCCTATGTTTAATGCAAAGTTCAATGAAACTATACTTTAAGATTAGGCATATTAGTGTTTGACATTTTAATGGGAAAGTAATTAGGTAGACTTGTAACAAATTGTCTATGGAAGTTTTATTCAGTCATGTCTAAGTACTTGGTACCTACCAATTAGAGAAATTGATAATATATAAGTGGTTATATGTCTGACTGTTTAGATATAAAACCTCACTATGATATATTTAATGTTTTTATTTACTTGATTATTATTTGTAGATGAGATTTGAATAGGTTTTATATACCCTACTTTATTATGTTAAGATTTATAAAGAGATCAGTTGGTGAAAAACTGGAATATATTAATTTGTGAAATGTTAAGTTGGTATTTATAGATCATTACATATTAGAATGAAAATAAGAAATGGAGGGTACTTAAAACTAGATTGACACATGCAAAATAATTTTAAAAACTCATTAAATAACATGTATTTGCCATGTGAACATTTTTGAAGGAGGGCCATGTTGACAAACCTAGTTATACCTAGTTTAACATATGGAAAGACCCAAGGGTCCATAATCTTGAACAACCATGAACAAACTTTATGAACTGAGACCTTAAAGGTTAATGTCAACAGGTTTAAGAATGGGCAGAGACTACCAATTTACCTTTAAAACAATGGTATTCATTTATGGGACTCCTAGAAAGGAGAGTTGAAAAACTCTGGATGAAATCAGTCCTTCCTGGTTGTTTATTATCTTTAAAAACTAATATCCCAAACACCTTGGTAGCTGATGTACAGAAAAGTGTTTATCTTATGTATTTCAGGTCATAATGGAGAACCTCGAGTACCAGTATTAACGTCTAGACCGTGTAAAACATCTACAGGACTGACACGTAAACATAGTGAAGTTTGGCAGACGTCACCATGTCAAAGTTGTACCTGTAAATATGGTCAAATACACTGTTATTCACAATCTTGTTCACCTATAAACTGTAATCAGACCTTTTTAAGAAAAGGCCAGTGTTGTCCAACATGTTTGGGTAGGTATAGTTTGATCTTTCATATGGTCAAGTGCAAAACAGTCAAATTTAAAAAAAAAATCTGAAGGCTGAATTAAATGAGCTCATGTATTCTCCAAGGTTTGGAGATTTAAGCCTTCATAATCCTCTTTTGAAAAATCTATGCCTTTGGTATGCCTGTGAAGATAATCCAGACTTGCATGATTATTTTTGTAATAGTGAAACAGATGAAAAGAGAGAGAAAGAGAAAGATGAACTTGATATTTTGAACTGAATTTGAAGAACAGATAAAATGATGTAGCTTCTCCAGGGTGTCCAGTTTCTAATCCGAACTGATAAACTTTCTAAAACTCAACTTTACTCAATCAGTTGCTGCTATAGTCTTAGTATTTAATAACAATTTATTATTATTATTATTGTAGAATCAAGCCAATCTGAAGTTTGTGTTGTTAATGATGTAACATATAGTTCTGGTGAACAATGGTTATCTGATAATTGTACAGAATGTTCCTGTGATAATGGTATAATATCATGTATCACTCTACCCTGTAAAGCTTTAGCCTGTACTGTCATGATTCGTAAACCAGGTCAATGCTGTCCTACCTGTCTAGGTAAGAGTTTACTTCCATATTGAGCTTAAATTTGGTCCATCTTTGGATAAGTTAACTAAACTCATGCTTTGATCAGAAGACATGTTATATGAAGAGTGGTTTATAGAATTCTTCCAAACAACTAATCTGTTCAATTTAAACTTGTGTTGTTAATGAACAACATTCTAACAGTAGGGTGCACAAATTATTACACCAAAAGCATACCTTAAATACACAAGATGTTGTCAGATCTGAAATGAGTGAAGTAATAGACAGAATTATAAAGAATCTAACTATTTAGATATGTATTTAGTTCAGATTGAGATCAAAAGGTTTAAAATGTCAAAATGAAATATATGTACTCTTCTGCTGATACTGGCATACTAAACCTACACATAGGGAACATACCACCTACCATTGCTTTGAATTCCTAAACACAAACACAACCATACTCTAAAAGAAAATCAAATCAGTAGATTGTCAATGGATAAAGAGTTACTATATTGCCTAAATAATTCTCTTTCAAACAAAGAAACAAGGAAAAAACCTGAGAAAAAGAAAGAGGTGGATAAGGATAAGAATGATACAAAAAGTGGTAAACAAACCTGCATGCATCATTTCTCAATACCATTGGTTGAAGTTTCATCAACATGTGCACATTGTGGTCTTTCTCTATTTCATTTTAAGTCCTCTTCATAATATAATAGTGTGTATTTAAGATATTTTTGTTATATTTTTTGTTGTTGGTTGGATGGTTTTGGTGATTTATGTAACGTATTTGCATTTTGCAAATTTGTAAATGTTTGGTTTAAGCTTTGGAAATATTTTGAGTTTGTGTTCTACAGTTGGATTTGTCCTACCCTTCTGAGATATGATCTATGATCTATGCATACAGTTCACCAGTTATGTAATTTTCTGCATGATTTTCATTTCAATAGAGAATGACTATATCTGAAGTCAATAGAATACCGGGCAAAATTCACTAATCTTAAACTGTTTACAGATAGATTATAATAACATTAAATTCAAATATTTTTTAAAGTAAGAAATATTCCTTGCCAATGTAGCAAGTTGGATTCTTGTTTATTTCCCTCTGGGGTAAAAGGAATGTCCAAAACCACATCTCAAATAGAGAGTTATAACTTAAGGTTACACAACAAATTTAAAAAGGCAAAAAGTAATGAAATTATATTGTCCTTGACAATATTCAATGTAAAGTAGGGCATTATGATTTATTTAACTAACTTTTGTTTATCTACACCTGCAGTTTATGAGTGTTATTTGAATTTCACCTCATTTTTATGAGGACCAGTGTTTATTTCAATTTTATATTTTTACCACGTACTTTGGTCTACATATTGTTAATTTCTTTTCCATGAATGTAGGCCATATCAGACTTCTGCATTATCTTTAGTATACCTTTTTTGACTCTCTTTCAGAAGATTTACAATCTACATCAGGAATAATTGACTTGTTCCCTACGCTAACAACTAAACCTAGTCCAACAACAACAGTTACTTTAGATGGTAAAAACTTTAATGTATATTTTTCTGACAGATATTGAGCAGTGAAAGTCTCATTGAAACTGCTTATTGCTACATGATTATCTTACAAAGACTACTCTTAAAGTTTGCTAACTTAAAAATCTGGAATTCAATCTCGACATAGCTCAAGATGATTTTTCAATTTCTCCACTTAGTTGTCTCCTGTCATTTTAACATGTTGGAGGTACTAATATGATAAAAGCATCAAGTTGGGAACATAAACCTAGACCTTGTGAGCCTGTACTAGATGATACATCTTAAGACTTATAATACCAACAACATTATATATGCCAAATCATGAAGTCATTGTAACAGTTTTCTGAAGTACAGGTTTTATAAGAATGTATGATTTAAGACTGCATTATGAAATATCTAAATGTTACTCTAATGTTTTACTTGACTATATTTTTCAGGACAAAAAGAAGACAGTGTTTCTCAACAGAAATATGTATTGACAATTTCTATCTTAGTTGGTGTTTTAGTTGTAGTGGTAGTTATAGCCCTCTTGTTGTTTATACTAAGACGTCGTCACACTGGCAAATTCAAAATGAAGCACGACTCTACCATAATGACAGACGTTAAAATACGCCCCAAATCAACCAATTTAGAATATCAGGGAGCTATACCATCATTCTTAATGGACTCGCCAAGCAAGTCCAACAAAGAAAACAACGTGTTGGAAAAATCATATCGAATGTTTCCGCCTGTAAACTCTCCAGAAAAAGTGCGTTTAACAGACGTGAGCGGAAACCATTTTAATGATATGGACCTGTGTAGTAAAGCACCAATCATTGACAAGTGCATGTCAAATAAGACCTTTAACGAGCAAGTTTAAAAAGAGACAATAATGAAATGGACTTTAGTCCTAAGGTTATGGAAAGATGTATACATTTTGTAAACAGGTTATACTGGTACCTCTATGATAGTGAATGGATCAGAAGATTTTTGTTTGTTTAAAGACAAAGATAATGTTTATGAATAATATATTGTTGTTGATAGACTTCATGTAACATGACTTTATTATGATTTATGTTATCTATTTGGATGGATGGGATTCTTTTTTTTAATTCAAATTGCTTAATTCTGTCACTTTTTTGTGTAATTCAATGAGAGTAAATTATTTGAAGTGGGATAATTACTAAAATTTGATTCCTTTTCCATTTTTTGGGGTAAAACTACTCTATAAGGCTATTTAGCTCGAAAATGGTTACATCAAATATTTATTAAATGTGCACGTTTATTATATGGGGTTGTCGTGATTACTAGTAAAAGTACCTATATTTTCAATCAAACTTTATCATGCTTTACATTGTCATAACTAAAATTTATTTGAGGTTTATTTAAAAATGATAATTATTTTTTGGGACACCTATAGATTACTTTTTGAGCAATGAAAATTAGTTTGAGAGACTCTGACCATGACAGACTCCAACAGATGATTTTGAACCGCTTGTCTTGTTGAAGAGAAATCTACCTTATTTGTGGTGTACAGCAAACACTGGTGTAAATGGCTAAAACTGAATATGATTTCAACGTTTTAAAGACAAGACTGGAAAAAGTGGCAAGTTTAAGAATAAGATAATGTAAGGTTTGAGGGTGTACTTCTAAAAATTAAGGCATCCACATCTGAAGTGTGGGCTGGGTCAGAGTATCTGGGACTAAATTGAATTATGATATTGGTGTTATACAACAAGCCTTAGTAAGAAAACAAATTTTGAAAAACAACTTTTGTGCATCTCTGAATAGCCTATGAAGTAATTAAAAATCAAAGAGTTGAAGAAGGCTTCAATGTAAAAAAAACATAGTGACAAAATTTGGATTTGAAAGGGAGATATGATCTTAATATTCATCCAAATTGATCTGTACTCATTCATATAAATAATGTATATAAAATAGCTTTTGAAGTCAATATGTTTGTTATGTTGTGAACTTGTGCTGTTTTGAATGTTTTATTTTACTGTTACTTTATCTTTTGATCACTTGAGTGATTTGGACAGACAGATTAGAGGGAATTATATATTGCTGAGACCAATACAATATCTGTGTAAAACGAAAAGCAAACTGTCACTGTTTACGTGGTTTGGAGCTCTGTTTATACACAGAACTGTTTTCATTATCCGTTAGTGAAAAGCCTACATATGTAAAGAAACTTCAGTTGGTATCTCTGGATGATCTGGATTTACAATATCAGATAAAGAAACCTTTACTGAAAGGAGTGGTCTGAATCCAAATGTACAGCTATTGCCCTGAAACAAGTGATTCTTTGACAGTGTTATAAAATATTACAGTGATTGTAAAATAAAATATATATTGATGTGTGTTATTTAAACTGTTGTTATTTGAGTGCAATGTAATTAATGAATCTGTTTCTGTTATGTAATTACTGATCTGTTCTACAGACCAGCTAAAAATGTCATTTTCTTAACAATTTATATAGGAATAATAGGATATCAATAGAATTCGTTAATGTTTTTGTAATGAACAAAAGTACAACATAGTATGCAATGGCATAAGACCAAAGGATTAATGAATAGTATCATACAAGTCATAGAATATCTCAGAATGGAACTGGGACTAGGCAGGGAATTTAATTGGTTGAATCGATGAACACAACTTATTTATCAATGTTGTTAGATCTACAATGAGTGGAGCAACCCACAGAAAATAATGTATGCATAATCTAGAAAGTTATTTTTGAAAAAAAAACAGTTGCTATGATAAGAATTGTGCTTATTAAAATAGGTTTGGGCAATTGTTTCTGTATATAAATTAGTAAGAAAATGACTGAAGAAAAATGTATATAAAGATTAGTGTGAATACTTAAATATGAATGTGTATTGAAATGTTTTGTATGTAAATATTGTGTTATTATTATGTAAAGTGCTATTTTATATTTATGTTATCTAAATCTGAACAAAAAATTATCTAAAATTGAAAATAATTTGAATTTTGTCTGGACAATTTTCAACTGATGACATTTTAAGTTAAAGAATTACTCCTCAGGAATCACAAAGAATATATTTTAAATAAACTTTTAAACTGATTAAAAAAATTCTAATGAAAACAACTGTCTGTGATAAAAGGGCAAACTAATCAAATGTTTGATTTATTGGGTTTTCTAGGGCAATTTTAACTCTTTTTTCTCTGTTAATACTTTGAACAAGGGCAAAAATTATTTTAAGTTTAATTTTCAGAAGTTAACAGAATTCCTAATTCTCTTTAAATAAAGTGAAACCGTGGCATTTGGTTTCCTTGTTAAAGCTGCTCTTCCATGACAAAAAATCAAAGATTTTCAATCACAAGTCAGTATAATGTTGTTTCAGTAGTTCAGGTTGCTTTAATAATGAATAATTTTGGATAGATGGTGATGATTTTGCAGGGATACAATTTGGATGTTAGTTTTTTTCCCATAAACATTGCTAGATATAAGGTTGTGAATGTAAAAACAATGACTTTGTGAATATAAAAATAATTTTATTAAAGATAGATGCATTCCAGATTTGTGTAAGATATGGAAAATTATGCTTTAATTTGGCCGAGAATCTCACTAATATTATTAGAGCATATCATTGCTTTATTTGTGTTGTGCTTTGTTTCCTATTTTATACATAGTATTATTACCCCTTTCTCTTGCTTCCTTCCCCCTTATTTACAAATCAGTGTGCTTTAGTCTTTTTCTTTATAATGCATTTAATATATTTTACTAGAATGTTCAAAGGTAGAGTAAAACTCACTTTGAGGTTGATTTTGTTCTCTTGAAAGAGAATTTTTCTCCTTTAAATTTTACCAAGTTTCTGATTGTCATGTAGGTATTGATTTTAACAGAGACTATTTCATATTTCAATGTGACTGTTTACTCATTCTGCACCTGAATTTTGACGTCTGATAAGGCAGGCAGGAGTATGATAGTAAATACCCACTATTTCTAGATAGTATACTACATTTTATTTGATATTGGGCAAAGTTTCAAATCTCAAAGTGTTTTTGGAATAAGAAGCGCCAAATTCTGATGTGAAGTAAACAAGAGTTCAGTAAGAACCATGTGTTAGCCATGTGAATGAGATTAAAATAGCTAGGCATGTATCATTAAGTTGACAGTCTATTGTATTTTAAAACAATGGTGCCATTTGATACATTATGACAACCTTGTCCAATATAACCCAGTCTCCAAACATATGTTGACATAAACACCAAATAATGCCTTACCAAAATATTCATTCGCCCACTCTGTTTTCATAAGGTCAGCCATCTAAATAGGGAAGTAATTTGTCTAAAATCTTTCCTGAATTTCAAACAAGTTTAGTAAATTGAGTAGGCACGCATTTCAATTTTCTCTGTTTCAAAATAAGGTTAAATTACCTTAAAAAATAAATATAAATATATTCTAGTGAACTTATGCAATTTTTTGTTTCATGTAAATGCATACAGGATGTTGAATTCAAATGTTTTTTTTTTTTAACCAAATTATTTTAAAAATAGACCTCTTACACCAATAATACATGTCAGCCCAATGTTGGCTTTAACACCCTAATACCAAAACATGATTCATTGAATCTAACTGTACAGTGTATTGCTTTCTCACAAGTATTTGTCTCTTAGTTAAAAGACCTTCATGAACCAGAATTTGGGAATTGGGGAAAATATCTGTCAAAAAGGGGTGCACTGCTTTGAGCTGAGTAGCCAAATATAATCAATAATTACAAAATTTAATAGAACTAAAGACCAATGTTTGAACGTGCTAAATTTGTTTTCTATTTTTAGTAGAAATGTGTGTTTCTATCTAGAGTAGTTATAAGATTTACTTTTGTATTTTAGTTCATGTACATATTTATTGTTAATATTATCATTTGTGTACATTCATTCAACAGAAGCTGAGCAAATTATTCAATTGTGATTGTTGTCTTTTTTCTCATCTTACTAGAAACTCCCCCAGATATACATGAAATGCTGAAACATATAAACTATTTCACTTTAAATTTCAGATTAAATTTTGAAACCAGACAAAAATATAGCATACACCCCTCATGTTCTGAATGTTCACTGTAATTCAATAGGATTTTGATAAAGATCAAAAGGGGTATCAACACTATGATGAAATTTATGTTCTCAGACTATCTGGGGGTTCTTGTAAAATTATGTTGTTATATTGTGAGCATTCCTTTATTCAACATCTTGTGTTTTTGCCTGTATTTGCCATGATATATCTATATTATGATATTGTCAGCTATAGAATTATATCTATATATGTCTACATATTGTACAATTTTATGGTAATGTGCTGAATTTTCCTTTTTTTTCTGCTGGTAGAATTGTAATAAAATCTCTTTGCTTTGTCTCTTTCGTAAGCGGCACAATAAAATGCTGAAAATCTTACTGTGTGTTTAATTTTTTAACCTTTGTTTAATGAACATCTTGTTTCTTGGAAAAAGAAACCAGTTTCCTAGGCAAGGAAGCATGTTTAAAATATTAGGTATTCATAACAGCAAACTTAATAAATAAACTCCCCATAACCCTTTTCTTTAAAAAAAAAAAACCAAAAATTCAAAATGCTGCTACTGACTACTGTTAGCTTTGAATTGAATTTCTTCTCTCATTTCATAAATATTCAAAATAAATTTTCAACTTTATGTCAGTTGTCTAACAATGTCTTCAGGTCCATAGAAACATATGCTTCAGTGATTTATCATTTAAAATAAACACTCTTCCGTCCAGAAAATTTGACGTGAAAATGACCTACTTTTGGGACTTAAAATTCCCTTTTCAGTGGTCAACACTTTCATCAACCTAAATGCAATCCTCTCAAGACTCTCAAGATTCAGAGAGTAATTATAATTTTATCCTTTTACCAAACTTTAGATATTCTTAGCATAATGAGATACTATTGTAAAGTATTGCATAACTTATAGTAACCTAATGCAGTCATAGTCATATAACTTGGCACAGATTTACCCAAGCGATTAATTAAATCTTGCATCCACTTATTCTATGATGCTTTATTATTATTTTTTTTTTTTTCAAATTGCTTCACTCCATATACCTCCACATACTTCACATTCCAAACATTATAAAAAAAAAAAAGAAAAAAGAATGGTAATATGGCATCTTAAACTTGAGATAAAACAACAATTTAAAAACCTGCAAATTAATGAGCTTATAAATAATAAGCTTATAAATTAAAGTCAATTTGACTAATATTGCTATCATTTATCTTTAGGTCTTAACAGTTAATGGGAGATAATTCACTACAAATGGTGATTATCTTTAACATATTAGTTTTAGTCTGTAGCCTTCAGATTCCAAAGTTTCCATTATGTTGACCGAATTGCATTGCATTTCGTTTGAAATTGATATTTTAATACTTTGGACTGAGGTAAATGACAACAATGAAAAAGTTATTTGAATAAACAATTTACAGAGGGGCATTTATGGTCTGAAACATGGAAGGAAAGTGTGTTCATTTCAATTGTAAAATATAATTTTATACATCATATTATTTCTATGGATCTGAAGACATTCTTAGATAAATGGCAGGGAAGTTAACGTTTTTTATGTTTGTGACATCAATAACTGATGAGAGTTTTAACTTAGGTATATTCTGACTTGTACCAGTAAGATAATTTAAAAAATATCTATCTAAAAAACTTTAATAAATAGTGCATTTAAAAACATTATCACATTATCAAAAGCAATAGTTGTCTTATATATATATACAAATACATACTAGTAGATGTAGTCATCTAACATTGCTTTCAAGGGTCCCAATTTTTTCTCTGCTCGGGAGCTACAAGTGACCAGTTTGGTGAATGTGCATCTACAGCCAACCAATTAAAATCATCAATATCATCCCAATTATTACGTTCCTTGTCTAAACCTGATAATTTAAAGTGTTCAGCAATTCCAGGGTAATTCCAATTATAAGGTGCAAATTGAACATCATGACTGTCTTCAATGATGGCCTTACTAGTAACATGAATGTAAAAGTTTGTAAATTCTGTCGTATGAATTCGTAACTGTTGACAAGACAATATAAAAACACAATTTTTACATTCACGTATAAAAATAGAACCAGACACTGGACCACAAAATATTTTACAATCTTCCAGTTCATTCACATGAATAGCTGATGGTGAACCATATAATTTCACTACACAATGTTTAAGTCTGGCCAATGCAACATCTTTTTGGTTTATCTGTGACGGATCCATGGATAAATTTTTACCATCTTCATCTACAAATTTACAGTCTGCTAAAATACAGGGCTCGTTTTTAGTTGACTTCTTGTGAGCGTCATCCTTTGTCGATAAGTTTTTAGTCTTCTTTCCATCTCCTTCACTTGCTTTTTTGCTCTTAAATGCAAACTTTTTCTTTGGCATCAATTCATTTCTTTTATCTTGTAACATATTTTGAAGTTTAGAAAGAGATTCGGTTGCTTTACTTATGTCATATGATGGCAGAAACAATGTTGCTTCAGATAAAAATTTCTGAGCCTTTTGTAAGCGAACAGTTAAGCCATCAAAGTGATCTATCAATTCTGTCTTCGTCAGTGACGAACTTCTTGACACATCTCTCTCAATTTCATCAATTTCCTTGCTCAGATTGTCATGAAAATGTTCACATTTCTCTCGAATAGGCGCCTCTCTGTCTTCCTTCTTATTTTCAATGTTCAGTTTCCTTTTATCGTCTCGTTTTTGTAACCGTTCAGTCATTAAAACGTGTTTTTCTTGTTGACTCATGCTTTCGTAGTCAACTTTGTCAGCCATGATTGTTTGTCAGGACGCTTAAAACATTGCAAAATTCTATTATTTCTGAACAAATCTCACACATCGAAAGATTTATTTCGTGTAAAAAAAAATCAAATTTGATTTATTTCGATCAAAATGTGACTCGAACTTACACTTCAAAGCAGATTTTTCCTTCTTTTTTTTAAATTCATAAGCGACAAGGAGAGACATCTTCTGCAAATGTACCGAAATGGACAAAATACTATACAAAAATTACAAAATAGTCAAAAGCGACACATGTCAAAAAGGACACAATAAATTTAGTCAAATCGGAACCAGGAGAATTCAACAATAACTTCGATCGTTCGTGGATTGACACAAACAAGCAATATTATTTGAAGGCTTTGAATTGATAAGACAAGACAATATAAAAGGTAGCCTACTTTATCTTATGTAGTATTATAAATGAACCAATTTAAGTAGACCAAGACTACTAACGATCCGAACCGCAAAACTAAATCCGAAATCCGTAACAACATATTGACGATATATTGGTAGCAGCTATTGAACTTTCCACATGAGGGAGTATATCAATCATAGTAAGTATTTCATTATGAAAAGTGGTATCAGGTGTCTATAGGCCCTAGACCTTTATAGCCTACACGTACGTTCTCATCACAAAATTGGTTTTAGTTAATAATATAGTATTGATTCTCAGCTAGGCTAAAATTAAAAAATGTTTCATTCAATTGGAGTAGCCTGCTCGAAGATCCTTGGAGTCTGTGGAATATATAATTCCTTTATCGTATCCGAACCAATACTAACTATAGGTCATAATTCCGGTGACCATATTTTCTGTAACTAAGTTACCATGCACCTGTAAATTTAGCCCCCATAGTTCTCATCAGCAGAGTCGTGTATATATATATATATACAGGTCTGGCTCTACCTACTCAATATTCTTTGCATTGCAAAGTCTCTAGTACGTAGGCCTATATTTGCAAAATGGTGTTTTATATCATCTTCATCGTCCAATCTTTAGAATGTTTGAGTTTCATATATGTTTAACAAATTTGTTCAAGAAATTTAGGCTCGCGAAAAAAGAGTGACGTGAACCCTTTCACGCGACGTAAATAACGTCATAGTTAGCCTAGTTACAATTTTGCACAATGGCGGAAGTGAAAGTAACAAAAAATCAAATGTCTACGATGTGTTCATTTTCAAGATCATTTATATTGATAGATTAGTTTCTAAAGGTTGAATATGGAGATTTCAGAATTAACTCGAAACTGTCTGGGTGTTCTGATAGCCATTTTGTGTGTGGTAATGACTGCATTTGGATTTTGTGTGATTTGTGGTGCGGTCTTCCTGAAGCTGCATATGGACAATTGGACAGTTTTATTTCACGAGTACGATCCAAAGATCTTGTTTATTTCTTTGTTAACTGTCGGGTGTGTTATATTCCTTCTGCATATCTATGGTACGAAACTTGGCTACGCCACTGGTTTTGTTGAGACCAGAGAAGCTTATCAAATTGGTTTTATGCCGCTAATGGTCTTCATGGTACTTTTGATTGTTGGTATGGTTGTTACAGGAGCATTGTGCTTGGTCCATAGGGATTGGTTAGCCGAGGGATTTCGAAATGGTATGTTATCCAGAATTAAAATGTACAGGGACGATATGCACGTGAAGTCAGTTATAGATGAACTTCAGATGAGATATAAGTGTTGTGGGAGTTTAAGCTACAAAGACTGGTTTGATGTGAGTTGGATCGGTAAAGGTTTTGTCGATATTGAAAATCCAGATGTTAAGAAGTAGGTGCCGCAGATTTTTATAAACTCTTAGTGTAGGCTGTATAATGCAGACCTACATTTGCGGAAGTGATCACCGAAGTGTAATAGAGTCTTCCAAAAAAAAAAAACGTCCTAAAGTTCCATGGGTAGTATCTCAGCTGTTTCAAAATTCTCACATATATAGCCTACTTCAAGATGTCATTGCCTAACCCTGAAAATATGAAAGTCATCGAATAAAAATTGTACAAGTAGATATCTGTGAGAATTTTGAAAGTTTTTTAGGCTGTATGCAAATATTACCGATGGTGTTATCGGTGGTAGGCCTACCAGCTTCATCATAAAGATAGCCTACTACGTGTGGGCATATAAAATCCAAAGAATCCATAAAGAATTGTTCCTTAAAGAGTGAGCAAAAGTTGCACTGTATGTCTAATAGAGTGAAAAATTACCAGATCATTGATAGGGATCATCTTCATAATGACCCACAAAATAAAAATTAAAAGAATGCATAAAGAATTGTCTGTAAAATGAGCACGAGATGCACAAAATAGCAAATAGAGTAAAAAAAAAGTCAGACAAGATATTTCCGTGAAAAATTATCAGATCATTGAGAAAATCGATAGGGGATCATCTTCATAATGACATTGACCCACAAAATCAAAAGAATCCACAAAGAATTGATGCCTGTTGAGTGAGAACGAGCCAAATGCGAACGGACCGACAGACCGACTGACCTCACGGTTAATTACAATATACGCCCAAAATATATTTGTGGGCGTATAAAAGCTATTAGAAACCTGATCATCCGGAGCGAGCGCAGCGATTTGGTTGGATTGTAGGCCTACGTTGTTAGCGAATAAAAATCATCAGGTTCATAGAAGAATATGATTTCAAGCTAAAATCGTTCAATTGTAGACGAGCGTCGTATTTTTCATTGCCTCAGATATGAGCTTTTAGCTTATTTGATAATTCAAATGATATTTTAAACGACTATCTTCACCGTAAAAAATATAATTAGCTCATTATTAAAATTATCATTATAATATTATTATTACAGGAGGATGGAAAAAGGACAATATATCACTGACGATGCACCATTTAGTTGTTGTCAAATGGAATCTATGAGACCGTGTATATTTCATAAAGTTACACAATATGAACTTCATCAAAAGTATGACGAGATTACGCTGTATAAAGCTGGCTGTTCGGCCAATTTATCATCTTTTTATGATAAGTTTATTCTGTATCCGGCTTTATGTGGTTTGTTTGGGGCATCTGGAGTTGAGGTATATAGCCAGCTTGTCTATTCTCTGCTAATTTTTATCCGAGAGTATAGATTTTGAAAATTCGAAATGTGGTTCCCCGGATGGATTGAGATGGCAATAATGAACATAAACATATTGAATTAAAATCAGATCCTGCAGATGCCAGAATAACTCTGGGAGTTACAGCTTAGCATGTTGAATTTAGACATTTGAAAACAATCAAATCCATGATAACAAAATGTTGGGCTGTGCTAATTATTTGAGCGAAGTAACAATTACTCTTGTCAATTTATACTCTGCTTTTGACCACAATTAAATGTGGGTTATATTGGCGACGCCCTGATCATCGACCTGTTAAAATTTAAACATGCACCTTTGAAATGGAATATATAATGTCTATTTTGAATATTGTAGTCAAAATTCCCAATATTTTGAAACTGACTGACTGACTGATCAGTCGATACTTTTAGCAGTTATGAATTTCAAATTCTGATTTCAGTTCTTCATAATTATATGTTTACGTCATCTACAGACATCAATAAATGCGGCAGATAATTCAGGTTACCCTTCTGGGTATGGAGATTCGAAGTGTTGCGCTCCAGAACCAGGTAAACTCTTTACATTTTATATACGTCCGCATGAAAATTTGTTCACTGGAACAGAAAACTCACAAACTATTCCACAAGTTTTTCTTGGAACAAACACAATAATTTTCCTGGCTTTTTTTACGTGATAATCTGGACGTTTATTACCGTCTCCCTATCAACGTTTTCTTATTAACAATAATACCTAGCTGTCGTAGAAATTTCATCCAATGTAAATGATACTTGGTAAGAACTTGGAGAAATATCTCGAGTGACTTCGAACCTTCAAGTAGCACTTTTTAAGGAGGTTTATTAGACCAAATGAGTGGCAGGAATATCGACTCGTTCTACTTCCTTCAAAGTTATTAGGCAAAATCGTCACACAATCCTGAAAGATTCAAGGTGGTACTAAAGATTGAGCTACTTATTGCCACGTATCTCGAGCCCTATCTATATTTTGCCCAAATGAACAGGGAACATTACACATATTCTAAATGCACTAAATGCACTAAATGCACTATCTTTTTCTATCTGACTATTTCAGCCTATAACCCCCATTCTTATAGAATGAGAGAAAGACAAGGTTATACAAGAGGCAGAACCAGTGACGGCTGGGATAGGAATTATTCTAACATTGGTAACAGCATATCATACAATGAAGATTTAGAATTAAAAATCCCAAAAGAAGAGGAAAGCGACAAAGTTGTTCTATCAGCAGAAAAAACGGCAAGCGATGGAAACAAAACTACAAATAATCGTAAAAAGAAGTGGTTGGGACAACAAAAGGGTTCTCAAAATGACAAAACTAAACAGGATAGAATAACTACTACTATTAAGAATGACGGGATCAGAAATTCCAACACCCCTAAAGGCAGTAATGTTGGCAATTTTTCAGAAGAAAAAGCAAACGATCAAAGTAAAACATCGAATATTCAGAGAAAAAAATGGTTAGGACAAAGAAAAAAAGATAGTGGTACCTCTCAGAACACAAAATTTTCTACTGTCTCAGAGAATGAAGAATTCGGAAATCCAAAACCATCAAAAAGTGTACGCTTTGCAGACGAAGAAGCAATCGATCAAAATAAATCAACGACCAAACACAGAAAGAGCTGGTTAGGAAAACAAAATCGCAAACAATGTGTATAAAACAGTATATAAAGTATAAAAAGGCGACGTTAAATGTTACTTTGAGAATCTTGAAAACGATGATTTACTTCATAGCTCAAGTTCTTATAACGTTTTTCTGAAGAATGATTACTTTCGTATGATCCGTAAAAATATCCTGTAAATTTATGTTTCCTTTAAGGTGTGTCCACATGTTTATCAATGCTTGTATGTCGATATTTCGCAGTGGAGCGCAGCGTTTGCAACCTGTTAGCGCATATCGTACGCACTGTATACGCGTTGCAAGACCACAAAATAGGCACTTTGGTTACGCGACAGTTGAAGTAATGTTTGCGCATAGTTCACGCGAGTCGAATGCACATAGTACAAAAATTTATGCGTGCAAAATTGCACACACTACTTGCACTAGTTAACGAAGATTTTTATTATCGGTACACCAAAGTGTGTACATAAATCGTTCAAGCGTCGAGTGGTTAAAGATTATGCAGATTACCTGAATGGCCTGTAAATTATGCAAGGACAGTTTAAAAATCTTCGCAGATTTGTCCGAGAATGGTATGTTGATTCTGAAAAATTCTATGGATAGTTGTAAAAAAGCTATTTCTGCTGACAAAACATCCCCGTAGGTGGTCATAATGGTAGGCTTTAGGTTTTCATCGATTACAGATATGAAAAATGATATCTATTTAGGCGAATACTTGTATATCTCTTTAATGAATAGGTCTGGGATATCTTCATTTTAATATTATCTTTCGTCCTTTATTATTAATTGGTGCTAATTTTATTGTTGCTGTTATTATAAATTACTAAAAAGGCTTTATATCTGAACAATAAAGATGTTGAAAACATGTTTTACTTCGAAAGGAGGTTAATGTCTCGCCTTAATATGAACACCCAGAGAAATATACTGTATTAATAATATATAATTAAAGATGGGTTCCCTTATTTTCATTTATGAAATGAAAATGCTAATACTTATATGAATAGAAAGTAGAGGTGTTCTAATGACTTGGGAAAATACCAGTTTGTCTCACATGTCTATAATTAATTTATATTTGGCAGAAATCCAATGAGTGACCGATCTAGAAAGATCAAATAGTCTTTTTTGTTAATCCAAGACTGTACATACTTAAACATTTATGATTGGTTAAAAAAACTTAATTATATGCAATAAGAACATATTGATATGATTAAGAATACATGATATTTCATTTAAAACACCATTTAATCAAATGGTTTGCTTAATTTGACACTAAAAAATAAGGAAACCCATCTTTAAGTCATAACATATTAACCTCAACAATAGACCTGTATATTGACAGTATACAGCTCTATGCCTCAACTATTATTGAAATCTGGCTCCCGATACCCAAAACATATTTCTTCCATTATACTCAATCCTTTGTGGTCTGTTTTTAGTTTTGTTGTTGATTGTCTCATCTTTATCTCTAAATCAACAGAGGGAGCTATTTTCCAAAATGGAAGTAAGCGGGCGTTTTCAAAATCTAATGTATTAATAGTTTTTGGCAAGTATGAGTGAAATGGTGAGTATTTCGACATTTAGTTTTAAACTAAATCCCTTTACACGGGCCCTGTGATCAGTTGAGAAACTACACTGTCACTAACAGAGAACAATAAGACCTGATGTCGATGACTGATGATACTGTCACTGTTACTGCAGCGAGTGTCAAACCAGTGACACTGGGTAACATGAATAGCTGATGTCAGTAACTCATGACAGTCACAGTGCCACTGAGTTATGAGCAATGTCACTGCCCTACCATGGTTAAATAATGCTAGCAGAAAGATAGTTAAAAGATAGGCCTTAAGGTTGATCTATTTATATGTGAAATAGGCAATGATGCACAGAGTCAGTGGATATTAGCTGTGAACCTGTCATGTTTTTTTTTTTTATTTCGCCAGCACTTCTTTATAAAAATGCGCAGTAAAAGAATGAAATTCTCGGAAATCATACCATTGATCAACTTTTGGGACGAAAAAATTAAAATGAAATAAATTATGGAGTTTTACGTCCTACTTTTCTGCACCTTATGGGCTAATGAAGACAGGCAACATCATGCAGGGTGCCATGAGGGAAATTTTGCCAGGACAGCAGCGTTAGCCTGCTCTTTTTCGATTTCCAACTGTCGAGGGATCTTTAACGTGCACACCTGTAGCATACAGGGCCTCGGTTTATTGTCCCATCCGAACGACTAGAGGCTTTTTCCATGTCAGCCCCTCTTACCTGCATCACTGACAGGGGGAAACCGGGTTGAAAAATCCTAAGGTATTATCTCGACCTATGCCGGGATTGAACCCGGGACCTTCAGGTTCGCGAGCAAGCGTCTAACTCACTGAGCCAAATTGATATGGTAAGGAAAAGAATTGAGCTAGATTTAAAATACTCTTATTTTTAATCTCAAACAATTTTTTTTTTTTTCAGATTGAAGAGGAAGATATGTCTATAGATGAGGACAATTTTTTATCCAATATTCGGGCTAAAATGAAGTCTAAATCAACCCATTTTAATACACCAGGTCGAAGAAAGAAGATTATTTCTACTAAGCTCTGTAATGTTTGTAAGGACAACTTTTGCAACCACTAAAACTATAGATTTGGGCGCTATAAGGCATTTTTCTATTGTATCGAAAGGCGCTATATAAGCTATATAATTATTATAGATTTCATAGCCTTGATTCAATAACTTGCTTCTTGCAATCAAAATCAATTGATAAAGTCCAAGTGAACTAGTTTATTATTAAAGTAAGCTTACTATATAAGGAGTCAAATTTCAGTGTTGACTGTTGGCATAATAAATTTATATATATTTAATTCTAGCTATGGGTTCTATTTCCAAAGAAAGTCTGAGAGGGAAAAATCGAGTTCTTGCTCTGGATGTTCAGAAAGCCAAGATAACTCTTGGAAAGTTGAATGAAAAATACATCAAATTACAACAAGAAAACCAAGATAATATGATCCTACTGAATAAAAAAAGAATGGAAAAAAATGATTTACAAAAGATTTATGAAACAGAGACAAAGAAAGGGATAGAGGTGGGTTGATAATATTTTTTCAAATCTACCAACATGTTTGCGCTAACTTGGCAACTTTGGATATGATTTAAGCATAAATTAATGAATGATGCAGGTCAGATATGAGCCATGAAAATTGTCCCCAATGAAGACACAGACAGGCAGTGTTCATTGCCTGATCCTTCTTGACCAAATGAGAAGTAGAAAAGTTTCATTTCCTTTAACTAGAGTGGTAATTCTGTCCCATAATCAAAGATTCGGAAGCACTTAAATTTTCACAGAAGATTAATACTCTCCTTTGTGCTACTTACATTGATGTCATTACAAACTTCGTCAGTGACATTTAAGGTGATCCAAGAAGTATGTTTAACAGAGGGATATTAAAGATAAAGAATCAAATTATAGATTTTTGAATTGTAGAACATTCTATGACACTTTTAATCTTGCACATCATGGCATAAACTGAAAAAAAATCCAGTATTTAGCCTATCTCTATTTGGATACAAGTTTTTGATGGTTGTGTTAATTGCTTATGGCCTATCTTTGCTATTACCCCCTACCATATATTGTAGTTACAGTCGAGTTCTGATTGTAATAACTTAAAAAAGCCATGTCTGATTAAATTTGGAGCCTGTCGATTTTCCTCAATCCTGACATATATACTCTTATAAGTTTTACATTCCAGAAAGCTACAGAGAAAATTGATATTATGTTGAATAGATATTTAACAGAATTAATTGTTAATTCAACTACTCTCGATATGAAAAAGAGACCCTCAACAGGTTCTAGGTATTTATTTTTCATCTGTATTTTCAAACACTGCCTCACTGTTTTAGTAATAAATGGTTATGAGATTAGGGCCCATGAAAAGTACTTATTGTGATATGTATATCGATACTGCATCTGTGTCTTATGAGTGAAGTCGTGACTACTCCACTGAACATTGCATGCACATGGTGAAACATATATAGAAAATACATGATGATTTTGATCAACTTAACATGTTAATGTAGTTATATTGTTGTTTTTCAGATCACCTATACAAGCATCAAAAAGTCAACCAAATTGTGTAGAAAAAACCAAAGTGGACAGGATTGATCGAAAAATTCGTAGATCGCGTCTTAGTTTGGATCAAAAACTGGCAGCAAGACAACCAGTTATACCCAGTGAAAACACAAAACAATTTAACGAAAAAATGTGTAATACCAATTCAGTTACTAACAAAGGCAGACATCCTTCTAGTGTAGTAATCAAAGCTCCTTCTTTTTCGAAACCTGTTCAACATGCCGAAGAAACTTTTTTGGCCATACCAATTGGTATGATGTCTGACTTGGTAGATGAAAATCATGTTGATAATGCTGATGATGATATGGAAATGAATCAAGATTTTAATCAAACTATTCAGCCATTAAATATATCTGTTTGTGATTTGACAAGTGAAAGTGACACAATGACATTCACAAAGAGCTCCAAGCAAACAAAAAACAAAAGACCTCAACAGAATAATGTTGCGAAAAATTCAATTGTATCAAAAGATGCTAAGGTACTCCAAAAAGGAGGGATTATGTCAAAAGAAAAGCATACATTTGTGGAGGAAGCTCAAAAATCTCTTGAACCCACTAAAAGTGCAGAGGGTGATTCTAAGGAAAAACCTGCCAATAAACTCTTATTGACATCTAGAGATCGAACTAAAATTTGTAATGTCCGAGACATGATCATTCCCAAACCAAAAGTGAAATCGAAATTGCGCAAGAAGGAAGAAATAAAAGTTCCTGAGAAAACAAAATCATCACCATCAAGGATACCAGTGTTTGATTTTTCCATGCAGTCACCAACTATAGAACTGCCTGAATCTTATAAAGAAATTCCTGAAGATATTAAACTTCCTGGATGTGACAGGAATTCCACAGAATTGATTACAGCAAATAAACCTGTGAAGTCAAAAAGCAGATCCAGAGTTATTAAAGACAGTTCTGATAATCAGACATCAAAATCAAGTCCAGTGTCTTCACAATCTGATTCACAATTATTAAAGAAAATCAAATCACTTAATAAAGGACAATCAAAGAAAATCGAAGAATGTTCTGACTCGAATTATACACATCCATCAAAATCTTATTTCCAACCTGGTCAAAAGGGTGTATCAGTGCAAGATACTAGCAATATGTATAGTGTTTCCCTGAAATCAGATAGTCCAGCAAAGCAGCACACTGATAACCTAAAGGAAAGATCGGGCCGATCCAAAAGTCGCAAAGGAGTACAGCAAAACACCACTCATGGTGAAACTTATACTGTACCTATGAAAACTGGTTCCCCAGAGAAGTTAGCTAAAGAACCACAAAGAAGGGGTCGATCAAGAAGCCGAGGAAGGACTTTAAAAAATGCTGAAACAACTGAAAAGACTAAGTCACAAACTGAGAGCCCAACAAAAGGCTTTTCTGAAGTTGCTATGAGAGGTCCATCGAGAAGTTGCAAAAGAACCTTGAAAAATTCTGATGATGACCTTGATTCTAATAAAGTAGATGATTCTCTATTGCTGTACACTGTTCCCATGAAGACGGAGAGCCCAGAAAAAGCAACAGCTGATATAAACAGAAGAGGTAGATCTAGTAGTCGTGGAAGAACATTAAAACAAGCTACTGACACAAAATCCAAATCCCAACCATGCAGTTCAGGTATTTACTCAGTACCAATGAAATTGGATAGTCCAGAAAAATCAACAAAGGATTCCCAAAGACGAGGACGGTCTAGAAGTAGAGCAAGAACACTTATAGAAGATAACAAAAATGAAGAGGTACCGCTGCAATTGAACCAACATGAGGAAGACAATAAGCCAACAGAAGATGAAATGACACATGCAATAGATAATAAAGATATCAGTAAGAAGATTGAAGATCTGAAGAACAGATTTGGTATTGATAAAGATCAGAACAATGTTTCATCAAAAACTGCTGGCAAACCATTAACAGAACCAGAGAATTTTGAAGAATATTCTGTCCCTTTGAAAACATGCAGCCCAGAAGAAAAGCTTGTAGTAAGACGAGGAAGATCTCGTAGCAGAGGTAGACCAAAAGCACAAGAAGAAACTCTTGAGAAGTCTGAAAAATCTTCTGTGTCTGTGAGAAGTAGAGCAAGAAACAAGTTACCAGAGAATTCCAATTCTGAAAATAAATCTTTGAACTCGGAAGAAGCTGAAATGAAAAATTGTGCAACAAATCAAATTGAAAATCAAGAGCGATCAAGACCTTCTATGAAACGTGGCAGATCCCAAAATGGGAACGGATGTGAGAAGGTTGAAATAAGTGATTCAGAGTCAGATGAAATAGTGAGAAGTGCTGCACCTAAAAGACGAAGTAGATCAAGGACTAGAAGAAGGCCAAGAAAGTCAGAAACTAGTACGAATTCAGACTTTCTAAATGGAGGACATGAATCAAATGATTTAGACACAAAGCCAAATAGTGCTGTGACTGGGAAATCTCACCAAAGGGAAAACATTATTTTTAAAAAAGTGCCTAAAATTGTTATAGAAAATGAGAATGATCTAAAGACCAAAACTCCAATGCAAGTTTCAGAGGATTCCATATGTACAGTCTTCAAAAATAGACCAAGTATCAAGAGCAGTAGGAAATCTCTTGTAGCATCTTCACCTCCTTCATCAAAAGAGAACGTGATTACACCTGATCCATGTCCATTGGTCAAACAAACTTTAGATGGCAGAAAGTCATCTCTAAATAACAGAACAAGTACATCCAAAAGGGTAAAATTCTTTATTTCATTTTTTGATTTGTCAAATTAGTGCTATAGATATACATTGCTTACAGGAAGGGTAATGTTAGTTCGAGCTTATGAATATTAACAGATATTTAACCACAAAGTTATTATATATTTTAGACAGTAGAAAGTATTGGTAGTAGAGATAGTTTAGATGTCAATAACAGGTAGGTATAAGAAGATTATACATGTAGTTAAAATATGTATAATTCACATGGATATAAAAAAGAATTGTGAAGGGAGCCATCCGATAGGAGTTCTGCATGTTTGGGACTCATGGAGTCAACCGGACATTCAATAAAACAAGTTGGAACAGAGTTCAGAACCTGTTCAATGTGTACCGAAAAAATAGTATGGTATCAAATAGTGGAGAAGGGCATAGAAGGGAAAATTTTGAATATGATATAATCTGGTTTTGTGGCGTTCAATTAAGGTTATAATTGGAACAAGAGGAACCTTTTTAATGCTATCCTGGTCCAATCACTCCGGGTGAAAATGTTTCATGGTTTTATGCTGCAGAATTTGTAATGCATGTCTCTTGGAAACTATTGTGTATCAACACTATGATGTGAATGATGGCTTTTGTTATTTTATTATTATGTATAAATAATATGTAAGCTTATATATTTATATATTGAGTTAATATTTAATCTTTGTTGACCAATTTATTTTACAGTGAGAGAAAAAGCAGACGGGCTGCATCTTCAGTATCTTATAAAGAGCCCACACTTAACAGGTAGATAACATTTTATAGAATTTACAAACCAAAGGATGAAGGATGAGAATCTGCTTCATTGCTCATATGCCTGAAGTTCTCATACAGGAAACTTCTACTGATGAATAGGAGTTCATGTTTGTTATACAAAGTTACTCCATTAGATGCAGCTCGTGAAAAAACAACTAGTTCTTGATTCAGTTTTAAATCTTGAACCCAAATTAACCTGTGGTAAGGCTTGTGACAACCTGGGATTGTTAAATTGTCTCTACCCAGGCAGTAAGGTTCCATATTAGGAACCCCATGAAGGTCAGGAATATGGTTGATGCAACAGCCAGTGCTATTAAGGGACAGCTTAGTGTCAACTCTTTACCCATCCCTTTAATAAATATGGTTTATTGGAGCATCTAGATATTATTGGTACTTATAACCCCTGACATTTGTAATTAATTGATATTTTCTAGTAAATTAAGAAGAGAAGATGTTCAAAAGAAACTTTTAGAAAAAGAAGTGGAGAAGAAAAGATTATCTGGACAGGAATAGTCTTTTTAACTGAACAAAACTGAATTTTAAATTAAATTTTAGTTATGATAGAGTCAATTTATTTTATGTTTTGTGAATACTACCCCTTTCAATAGATATAGTTGCTGAAATTATTACATAAAATTGCATCATTATTCATTGAAAGTGGCAATTGACAATGTTTTTTCGATCGTTATAAATTAAAAAACACTCTCTGATCATTGAGGGAATGAACGTGGTTCCCCCTCCTACCAGTAATGCATGTTGGATAGGTTTACATGGAAAATACGTCAGATGGTGAAATAAACCCCTGTGCTGTGCATGTTAAAAATCTAAAAAACAGTTGAAAACCCTAAACAAGAGTAGCCTATGATGTCCCCTCCCCTCACCCCCATTTTTTCTTTAACGCACAGTGGTGATTCGAGCGTGTAAGACTACACTTACATGTAAGAAGATAAGCTATGATCACTTGAATTCTCTATAAAGCCACACGAAGTGAACTGATTGCATAGACTCGAGTAATATAATATATAGTAGAGATAACTCTATGACATAGTTTTCGATTCGAGATAATAATTGTGGTCTGAAGCTTGTATCTAAACCCTTTACATGGAGCTTACATTACAAATAAGTTTTTACGGCCCAATGAAGATTCCACTTAGGAAAGGTCTCAATTAGTTAAAATGAAATCCTCTTTTGAGACATGATAATATGAATCTATCATGATTTTGAAACATCAAGTCCAAACTTTAGACTGTCCTCGCCAAGGGAGATAACAAAGTTAATTTTCAGATGCTGTCGAAAAACATTAACATTCGTAGAGATTAGTAAGATTTCCCTTTTTTCAGTCATTTTTATGATATTTGACTTGAATTCTGGCGTGCAAGCCATGCACAGCTTGTTCAGTTGATATGATGAAAACTTTGACTTGAACTTGAAATTGTTCAAAGTTTCACGATCACCATGTTGATTGTTGGACTACAGACCGCTTTAAATTTATTTTTTCCGCATTACAATGTCTATGTAGTAGACTAGATATATTGGAATTTTAAGAATAGAAACCACTATTGGTACCTGTCCTATACCTGCTAATTGTTATACTTATCACATAAATAACTTCAATCTAGAGAATTAATACATCTTGCTTTGAATTTGTTTGTTTTTTGATTTCATCAGACATCAATGTTATATTACTGAGGACGAGTGGATGTCAATATGAGGCCTGATGAACACAAGAAAAAGAAAAGTGCACAATATAAACAAAAACATGGTGTGCCAAAAGATACGAATGATGGCAAAGGTAAGAAAATTTATGAATTATAATTTATTGCTAACATAAATTTGATCAAGAAAGAGATTATCTTCATTGTCTTACGACTTAGGCCAAGGTGGTTAATTCAACTCATACCATTATTATTTCAATATGAATAAGATTATCTTGAGAAATATCATTAATACTGTACTAACTTTAGTCTTTTAATGTTATTTTTTTATAGTTCAGGGCAATGGAAAGTATGATTCTTAAACTGTTCTATGTGAATTAGTTAAATTCTATTTTAGGTACTGGAGGAAAAAATGATAAAATTAAATTTTCTGGTAAACCTGTAAAAGGTAAAAATTCTCAAGATGGAGCTAGTTCAAGTAAAGAAATACCATGTAGGCCTTCTTCTATCAGTAGACCCAGCAATAAACAAGTTTCATCTAATTCGTCAGATTCAGAGGTATACAACTTGCATTTTATTGCTATCTAGCTCTTAGACCCTCAGTGTGTTTCTGTTGATAATTTCTTTAGCAAAATGTGGTGGTAATCTTAGAGATTAAGTGTAAGAGTAAGTGAAATGAGTAAGTTAAAATTCAACAAAAGCTTAGTAGATCAGTGGAGCTTCCTTTTCGGGCATTCAGGTTCCAATCTTGTGCCTATTGTCAATTATATTCCAAAGTTCATTTCTTCAAACTTCCAACTGTCTTTCAATAACTGAAACGTATGCCAGAAAAGATCAAGGCCATGGATTTGAACTGTGACTAGGTCCAGTTGGTTGAGAGAATGGCTGAGAAATTAAGTAGCTCTGTATGGCTATTTCTATTGTTTGCATTTTTATGACACTTTTTCTCATAATTATTTTTTTGAATACAGGAAGATGTTCCATCTCAAGGTGTAGTTTATCAGAAGAAAACATTTTCTAAGCGTAAAATAGTGAGTAACTGGGATAGATATGAGATACCTCATGTTGATGAAAATAAAGTGGAAGAAAGCAAAGGATCTGATTTTTCAACTGTGTTAAATCTTACTGGTAGGTTGGTTGACTTTAGTCTAGGTTGTTAAATCTTACTGATAGGTTGGTTGACTTTAGCCTAGGTTGTTAAATCTTACTGGTAGGTTGGTTGACTTTAGCCTAGGTTATTCAATCTTACTGATAGGTTGGTTGACTTTAGCTTAGATTGTCAAATCTTACTGTTGGTTGACTTTAAACAAGGTTGAACTTTATTTTAAAAGGTTTAAAAACATTCACATTTGTAATGTGGACACTCAAAGATTCTGTTTGAAACCATTCGTGTCCCCAGTTTAACGTCTGTGTGTAATTCAGAAAAACAAAATATGATGTCACTATAACAAAAAGTAATAATATTCAAGTCAAATGTTTTGGGGATAATTAAGGTTTTCTGGAACTACACAAATAACATTGGAACAAAAATTGGAAAGCATTCAATTGTCATTTTCTGTATATTGCTAGCTAGCCAACAGGCTACATTAAGATAAGATAAATCATTATTACCCTTTCGGGGAGTCCTGTACAATGAAAGGCTGACAAAACAAATAATAATATCTCTAATAATGCAATTTGATTTATTTAAATTCCAGGTAGTTCATTGTCTCAATTTCGATTTAAATCAGAGAAGAATTTAGATAAAGAGTTATCTGACATATCAGCTAGTCAGTATAGTAATTTAGATCTACAGGATTTATCAACTTGTATAGATACTTTACCACTTTATAAACAGTTAGCCATAGATCAACATCTATTTACTGTAAGTATTTTGAAAGAGAAATGATTGAGGCAATTAGAAAAGGGTGGATGTACATTAGAATAAGTCATACTGCACTTAGTGCTTGTTACTATCATCAAATAAAATAATATTACTGCAATAAAAATGTTAGCAAAGTGGAATCTTTCACAGAGGAAAAGAGTCCACGAATCTAGTTGAAAAACAGCTTTATTTGTTCTGTTAGAAAGGACATGCCTGAAGTTTTGGTTTAGATATATAACTTTAAATTTCGCACACTAATTTATCCAGACTAAAAAAAAAAGCAATTTAATAAAACCTTTAAGTTTTTTGACTCAAATTATCTAGCACACATTGGAGTGACATAAAGAAGCATAGAAATTTAAATGTTTTGTTTAAAGAGGATTTTTTATATTATTTAGGAAGATCAGATAGAAAAAATGAACACAGAATCTAAAGAGAAGTCAAAGGAATATATCTCACATGTACCTAAACTTCCATCTCTTAAAGCAAAACCAATATCTAACATCAATGATAGAGACTTTGAACTTGAACATTTATCTTCTGACATTGAAAATAACTTAGATCTTGGTGCTCAACCTGAAAGTGCTATTCCCCAAACCGAACTTGCAAAATCTGTGATACTAAAACAAACGGCCGCTATATGTGAACAAGAATGTGAACTAGAACAACTTCTTTCCATGGGAAATTCTACAAGTACAGATATTATTCAAAATTTCAATATAGTTTCTAATGGTAGTATAATAAAGACTCCTCCTGATTTGAAATCCACAGTTTTAAATGGTTTGTAGTTTTATTTTTACTTGTCTTCTAGAAAGCCCAATGGTAGGGATCGGCCATGATGACATAGGGGTGGTTTGTGTATCACATGATGCACAACTTTAACAGTTGTAAGAGTGGTTTGTCCTACCAATTCGTTTCATTTTTGTCCTCTTGATAGCTCTTTCGAAAATTACATTAACAACTTGTTCTTCTTTGGTTTAATTGAATATTAATTTCACAAAAATAGCCCTGATATTGAAATTAAGGTTATCTATTCTTTACCTCAAAAACGTTGATTAATTGTTAAACTATTTTTGTTGGTTCTATATCTTAAGGGATTTCTAACAAATATAAAACGAGTTTTGGCATTATCAGATTGGTTAAGTATGTAAATGTTTTTAAATTTTATGTTATCTGATTTCAGAGACACAGTCAGCATTACATAAAGACCAGGGTGCTGTTCCTGGTATGGAAGACTTAGAAGACTGGTTAGATAGTGTTTTAGATACCTAACAAATTCAATATATTATTAAGTGCAATAAAAATATTTTCTTGCATGTGTTTCTGTTTATGTTATGTTTTTGTTAAAATTCAAAATCCTTGAACACTTTATATGAAGTAGATGAGATAGTTTCAATAAATCATAAGAGGGATACAAAAGGCAGATTCCTTGTAATATTTATGATTTGGAGTAGGAGACCAATTTAGTGTCCTATGCACACACAGGCATGAATTTCCAAGGATGATTTCACTCACTTTAAGATCATTTAACGGGACAGCTGCGCCATATTTTTGACCAATAAATAATTTCCAGAATTATCTTTGTTTGAAATTAAAAAGATGAGTCGTCTTTTCTTGAGTCACTGCCATAATATATAGAAGAGACATCATTTACTAAAGTTTCTAGATGTGATACAATGGCACAGTGTACACTTAATTTGACAAACCTGAATTTGGTTGTAGGAATAAAAAGGCCAGGATCATTATAGCTAAATTGTTCATACACAATAAGTATTTATGTTAAAGGGGCATTCTGTTTTCTTTGTTGATTGAAAAAAAAAAAGGTTGCTCAAATTGATGAAAACTACACCAATATCTGAAAAACTTGCACCTTAACACACCACAGCCGTTTTAAATAACCGTTTTAAAACAAATCCATCAAATACATAGATGTAGGCCTATTGCTTCATTAAATATAGTAAAACAATACAGGTCCATTAATTTTGTAGTCTTGACTGAGAGACTGGTTATTCTGGTCTACATCTGCCAGACAAGATCATCTGGACATACAGTTAAAAATAGCTATGACCCTTAAACTGACCAAAATGTAAACAAAGAACAAAAAGGACAATAAATAGCCCAAAGCAAAAGTTGAAAGCAGGTGATGGTGTTATATGTAACAGACTGGCTATCACTAAACCTTTGTTTGGAATTTAAGATTCGTGTCAAGTAAATGGAGGGATAACGAAATGAAATTCTACTAACACTGTCACTGATTGATAATCAGCAGATAGTGCACTGCTGCCACTGGACTGGACACTTAAGTTATATGGATGCTTATGCTGTTATTCAACACTAGGCCTATACCCCTTGGCTCTAACTTATTCATTTGTTATGATAATTGATAAATAATATCATTTAGTAGCTCTGTAGAAAGAAAGCTAGTGAAAAGGGTAAGTTAATATTAATAACATATATAATCTACACTGGACATAAGGAATCTCATATTTCAGTATAATACACAAACATAATAGAATAATAGACCAGGTTACTGTCTTAGATACCAATGGCAACATTGGCAAGGCCAGTGTCTGGTTATGGCGTGGACCAAGCAGTTTAGCTTGTTTTATATTCTGTCAAAGAATCATTTATGAAATAACCATAGACATAGATAGATTTGATAGAAAATACTATCAGTATTAGGTTTATTACAGAAACAGCTGGTCATTGTTCAAAGCTTTCATTGATACGTGCAAGACAACTCAAAATGTTAAGTAGGGTAACATTACATGTATTGGTATTTGGAAAGATATTCTAACTCAAGATGAACATACAATGCACCAACAAAAGTAAAATAGTACCTAATAAAAGTTAAAAAAATTCACTTATAATTTATGTTACACAACATGTCACATGATGATGTGAAGTTGTGATAGGTAAAATTTAAAATTTTTTACAAACTATAAATAAGATAGGTGTGGCCTTGATATGTCTTTGAAGGCTTTATAATGCATACATGTTCTTTAAGCAACGATACAATGATTATCCACATCGTATTGTATGATCCTATGTGATATAATCATCATACCTGCTGTTGCTTAAGGAACATGAGTGCATAGTATTGCATACATGCCTATATGGATTCATATGACCCTATTCTTACAATAGGTGCCCTTATTCTGTTTGTCTGACTAAGATGAACCCATTTGGTTGGTTGACCTGACAATGAACTTTCATAATTTCTTGTATATAGACCTAACAAGTAGGTTTGTTATAACAGTTTTATCATGTGATCTGTTTCAGAGTATGGTTGTGAATAATGCTGTAACTTGATGTGCTTAACATTATTATTGATTGGTTGGGGTTGATGAAAAAGAGGTTATAAAATGCAAAATTAGTGTTAGTGGAATCAATTCAGGTAATAACTAGTTTATTTCAATTCTAAAAGGTAAATTTGTGATATACCTACTCTAAGTGATAGTTGAAAATCTGTGTTATGTGTAACGTCTGAATTCCTTTTTATTTAGCAAATTGATTGTCAACAATCATCATTCATTTCATTTCATTTCATTTGTATCAGCATGTGAAATGTTGAGTTAATAAATGTCAGAAATAGTATATCCATATATCTTGTGCTTCTTTACCTATAGACATTTCTATATGTCTTACAAACAATATATTAGAAGACAGTCGGCATTCATTACCAGTACTTCAGTAATATTCATTTGCCAACTGTTTTAGCTGGTATTTTATAATTTACCTAGCAGGTAACCTCAATGTTATTTTAGTTAATCTATAATCCCTCATTAATCCAATATGTCAATATATATTAAGAAGGATTAACTTGATTACAAAATATTGATTATATATATGATTAATACTTTTTGAATGTTATGTATTTAATGTGATCAAGTGGAAATTAGGAGAAAATTAAACTTACTTTTGGCTTAATAAACGGGCAATACTTAGCACTCAAACAAATAATCAGTAACTTATCTTTACCTTATTAGGCTAATAAACTTGGAGAATACCCTTCAGTTCCTATAGCAAAATAAAGATATGTCTTCTTATTTATTTCTAGATGCAGTGATACTTTTAAAATGGCCAAATCATCAGAAATTAAAGAGATAGACTGGTATAGTGAATCTATACAAGAAATAGATGAAAACAGTCCTTTAATACGCAGTGACAATCATACAGTTCAAGATATTGACGACATTACCCAAATCCGGAAACTTTGGTTCTTTCAAAGTATTCGTCAGTATGTTTTTATTGAAGTAGTGGTTTTCCTGTACTTTTTATCATATGTAACAAGTTTGTCCATTACACAGTTCTTTCTTTTTGATAAAATTGCTGAAAACTATCCGGGATACAACATCAGTGCCATGCACCCCTGTCAAATGATTAAACCTATATATGGTAACATGACTGATAAAGATGTGCCTAGAAAAATAGAAAAAGAGACCACCACAATGATCTTATATTTGAACATTGCCACAGCTTTTCCTGCCATCATACCAACTGTGTTTCTAGGAGGATTGTCTGATCGTCATGGTAGAAAGGTTGTGTTGTTGATAGCTATATCAGGAAGTTTGCTCCGTGCCATTGTCTACATTATAGTGATTAATTTCAGACTTAATATCCATTTCTTATTCATTGGAAATGCTCTTGAAGGACTATCAGGAAGTTTTGGAACTTGTTTAATGGCAATGTTCAGTTTGATTGCTGATATTACAGAACCAGGACCAAAAAGAGCTGTTAGAATCACTGCATTAGAGGCCATGTTGGCTATTGCGTCTGCTTCTGGATTGCTGATTGCTGGTTACTGGGTGGGAATGAGAGGATATTTTGAACCAATGACATTTGCCACATGTCTTTTAGGTTTAGCGTTTATTTTCACATCATTATGCATTCCAGAAACTCTTAGGGTTGAAAACAAAACTCCATTTTCTCTCAAAATCTTTAAAAATTGTGTGCAGCTGTACACAAAAGATACTGCAAATCATCGAAGATGGAAACTAATAATTTGTCTGATTTCATTTTTTCTTGTGATATCCATTGGACTTTCTCGTGTCTCACTGACCACTTTATATTTATTGGATGCTCCGTTCTGTTGGCCACAAACCAAGATAAACCTATATTATTCTTCAACTGTACTTGTCAACTGGATTTCCATATTAATCTTTGTAAAATGGTGTGGTCCAAGTATGTCTGAGAGAACGCCTGCTATACTAGGATGTGTATCTAGTGTTGGATCATTGATACTGTTAGGTATTGCTGTTGAAGATGTCTACATCTATGCCTGTAAGTATTTAAAAGAAACTGCCAATTTTGAAACCTTTTTTTTTGCAAGAGCCTTGCATATTGCTTATGATAAATATTAAAAATTAAAGAATAACAACAAGAAGTTTTCTAGCTTTTGCATGAGGATTGAGGAAAATTAAAGATTCCTGTTGCTTAATTAAGATTTTCGGCCTGTCTCTATAATCCAGAGACTTTGACTAGATCCAAATGGTTTTGTAAAAGTTTTCTTGAAGTACAGGTACTATGAATGTACATTATGTCTGACATGGAACCAAAGTCTTCATAATACTATTACACATTCAAATGGAATATATTTTAGCTGCTGCTGTCGGAATTATAGGAGATGTTGTGTCACCAGCTTTAAGATCTATGATGTCACATCAAGTATCACCAGTTGAACAAGGTAAACTTAATTTCATCATATGCTGACATTTCTCTTTGAACACATAATAATATCGGCACCCATGTTTGTCATCCATCTTATGTGTGTGCTAATTAAATCATGTTTTTTTTTATCCATATTGATGTAGATTTTTGTTATATATTATAGGTATATTGTTTGCTAGTGTTGGAGTGATAGAATTAAGTTGTACAGCAATAATTGGCTCAGCAGCAACATTAATTTATAATCTAACAATAGAATTTTTTAGTGGTGTGGTATTTCTATGTATGGCTGGTTTGATATTTATTGTGTTTGTTCTGTTGATGTAAGTATAGTATACACTAATATATGCTAAATGCTTCAGGGGACTCAATGAAAGGGGATCTCATCTACCATGGACAAGACCATTACTCAGATTTTTATTCTACTTGTAAGCAGTCACCAAACGTTTGGTATAGATGTTAGGTAATTCTGAGCGACCTCCAACCTACATTTATACCTCCAAAATGATTAAAATGTAGATGTAGATGTCTTGTTTCACATGAGAAGAATACTGGGAAACTCTGTATTCAATAAATCAACAGTTTTAACAGCATAAAATTAGCATAAATTGTGATAGAATTTGTCTGAGTCTAATTTAAGAAATTAAATGATTCGTGAGTAATCTTCAGAAAAAACATATCTCTGAGATACCTAAAAAATACAGTGGCTGTTTACTGTATAAAATGTGTCCATTTTTCAAATTTATGATGTTCACAACAGATGCTGTTTATTATTACAATCTCTTCTAAGCCTGTAAGATTATATAAAAGTCAATAACATTAAATTAAATACCATTAATTATTTTTAGGATATTAAATATTGGTATAAATAGACAAGGCGGTTCATCAGTTATAAGAACTATACACATCAAAGCTTAATAATGGTAATTACTAATGGTTGAACGAAGAAAGACAGAACAGCTGAATGATAATGTATTATAGAAGGTCTAGTCTACAGAATGATAGTGCTGAGTACTGTGTATTATCATACTCTATGTATCTTAATGCATGGTTACTGATAAGATACATATTATGAAACATATTTCATTTTTTACAAATCTGTTTAAAAGTAAAATTTTGATGATTGATTATATGCTGTACTAGCTTATTGAGCTACCTGTATCACTTTTCAGATTTCTAATATCCTGTTTCTGGTTCTTCTACTATTAAAAAAATAGGTTTCATAGATATTTAGAATAGCATTACGTCTAGGAAGTTATGAAGATTATTATGAGGAGATACTATTGATATTGTGAATTCATTGCTTGGGAGAAAGTTAGTTACAGTCTGAGAGAGAGAACTGTCTGACTGTCTATGGTCGATTTTAATTCTGAAAGCGAAATGGAAAGCTAAAATTAATCTGTATCAGCAGGTAACTGTTTAGGTCAATAATTATCTCTGGAGATATTTAAACTCAATTACTCATTTCAAACATATCAGATTAAAGGAACGAAATTCTCAGTGTATTTATTAGTTTAAAATTTGTTACTTATTATTTAAGAGTCTGAATGGACAGGGTAAAATTCAACTTTCTTCAGATTTCATGTATGATTGAATTGTGTCCCTTGGATAATTTATTCTCTTATATTGTCCATGTGTTCAAGACAGTCAGGGCTCATAACAACATGTCATTTATTACATTAGAAAAGTTTGTTCAATGTTTTTTTTAAACTGTAATATTAAAACTAATCAATTGTTCTGAGGACCAGCTATAGGCTATAGTGTGAATAAATGGTAGTCATGGGCTCTAATTTTGTTTTGCATGTGAAACTCTGGTGACCTTGCTTGAATCATTACTCCACTCTACCCAGCTGTAAAAGATTATAAATAATCAGGAAAGATCAATTTCAAGATTTGGACAAGAACCAGTTGGTAGTCAGTATCCTCATAAACCTACTTCTCCTTCTTTTGTTTCTTCAATAAATTTTAGACACCTGTAATTTCATAAAACATATTCAATATATGCCAAGTTGTTTGAGTTTTGAATCTTGTTTATGATATTGTATTAATATATTTGTTATGATAATTGTATATACATGTATATATAACATACCTTTATTTAATATATTTGTTCCATCCTCTTTAAAAACCCAAGGTATAAAATGATCTCTTGCCGAGTTTTGGTTTTATATTTTATCCTTGTATTGTTTGAAAAGGCATTAGGGAAATAGTTGTATAAATATGTGCTCAACCAGATGCTAGAGCTTATTTTAAGTTTTGGTGAAAATGAGCTCTTCTCAGCAGAAGCAAATATTTCAATGATTGTATCCCTTTAATTGTGATAAATTTTACTGATTGTTTTGAAAGTTTTAAACTGAAAATGAAATATTTCTATTGGAATGTTTGTTATAGTTGATGAAAAGCACGTTTCTATGAGATCTGTATTTATTTGGATCAAAACCATTTTGTATTTCAGTAAAATTCCTTTAAGCAAAAAATTGTCAAGCATGTTATATTTTTAGGGCATTGTCTTTTTAATCAAATCCACGTGCTATAATGGGCGTTGTCTTTTTAATCAAATCCACATATCACACGACAGCAATGTTACTTCTCAAAGATACTCTTTGAATAACTTTGAAACCCTTTTAGTCTGTATCACAGGTGGCAGCCTTCAAGCATCCAAATGAACATTTCTCTTTATTTTTAAGGTAGATTTAGTGGGAAAGGATTCTTGCTCAATGAAAATTATAATCAAATCACTTACTTTGAAAAATAGTAGCCTGCACTTGTTAGTTATGCATATTTAATTACGCTCAGATAGGGCCCTATTTTAGGATTCTTTGTTTGTTTATACTGTTTTATTTTTGTCTTAGACAGCTGATTTTCTATCTTTTTGCTTTTTGATACTCCTTCCTTTTTTATACCTTTTTTGATATTCAGTGTATATTTTTTATGTGATTGCATTGTATTACATTATTTTCTATATCATGTACAATTTCTAAGAATATTTTTTTATGTGTGCATTTATGTATAATGTATTTACTGAAGATATATTGTTTATGAACCAATTCATGAATGTGGTATGTCAATCTAGTTAGGTCTGACACCATTCTTTAAATCATACTTGGATTTTGAAGTCTTTGAAGTATCCTTTTTATTCATTTTTACAAATTTTGATGTAAACATTAAATTTATCTATGCATTTAAAATTTAATTTGTTTAAAACTGTAACTGTAAATGCATTTAATGGTAGAAAATTTATTTTTATTTTACTATGATTGCTTTGACTTGGGTTTTTAGTTAGTTTTTAGGTTTAGTTATGTAATTTATTTAATATTTTTTCACAATTCTTATTTTCTAGTCTCAAACCACAAACCAATTTGTCTATTAGTGAATTACTGTTTTGTTCTATTAATGGTATTTGTGAAATAAAATGAATTAATGTTAGATTTCAAATGGTTCATTCCATAAAGGGTCTTAATCATTGGACTTGAATTAGCCAAAGTGCGTCAAAATATTAAAAATAGCTTGCCTGGCAAGGTAATATGCGCCCACAGACAGCTTCAGGGCAGCTTCGATTTGAAATAAAAATATTTGGCAGTACAGTAAAATTTAACAGTATGAAATATTCAACCTTCAGTCATAGACTTCTTTTTGAATTTTTTAGGGGGATACTGTATAATATTACCAAGTTTCATCAATAACAATCAATGTGAAGAATTGTGCCTTCTAGTGTGTTCACAGACTAAAAATTGAATGTGTTTTTAAGAACAAGGGTAATATCTCAAACTAAATATTTTTCGATTCTTCGGATTTTCGATAGGGTTCATCCTTGGTTGATAACAAACACTCACACCCAGTTTCGTCATAATCAGTCAAGAATTGTGCCTTATAGAGTGTTTACGAGCAATCGTGGATGGACGGACCGACGGACATGGGTGAAGACAATATACGCCCCCATTTTATGTGGGCGTATAAAAAGAGTTTTTTAAGAGAAAAAAGAGAGAGAAAAAGAAATTCAGTACATGTCAAATTATTTCATTTTAAAACGATTTTTTCATAAAGAATATTAGATCAATAAAAAGGAAACCACTAAAGTTTACTCTGTTACAGGGATAGGGATGTGAGAAATATGTGACATAATACATCAATTTCAAATAAACAGCGTGACTGTGGCAATATTCACCACACGTTTGCAAATAAGGATATTCAACTATGGAACTAAATGTAGTTAAATAATGTTCAATGATCTTATTGAAATGTTTTTCTTCATTCTGAAAATTGTTACCGATAGGAATTATTCGATAGCTATACCCTTTAAACGGTTATACTGGTTGATTGTTATCTGTAAATTTTAGATTTATTTGATCTATTTCATCTGGTCTTATGTTGCAAACAATCAGTAGATAATTATGGTATCGATTTCGTACGCCCTACATTATGACAAGTAAAGAAGTTGAGAAATAAACCAGAGGTCTGTAATTACAGTAGGGGAAACGAGATTTTTTGTGTATCGTGATATAGTCAGATTTTTTTTTTTATCTCGATAGATTCAAATATTGTGATACAGAAGATTTTCGAAAATAAACTATTTGTAATCTTAAAAGATCTCTATAATATATTGATTCCGCTCAAAAGTCAAAAAAGTTAAACTGTGCCTTATATAGATCTAAACAGTCAATTTGTCATGTACGCACTGGAAAGTAAGCCATGCACTTTGTTTATATGAAAATCATATTCGCTATATTATACTTCCTTGGTTAAAACAAGACCAATGCTTACTATACCAGTTTTGTAACTATGCATAATACAATAACACTGATATTATTTCTATGTCAACACAATAATATCACGTCTTTCCTAATGTGATTGAGATGCTTTTGAAGGTCAATTTTCTGTAAGATTTCTGTATTTCCTGCCATTGTCCTTAGCGTATATGATGCCACTGCTTATAATACCTACTTTGAGTTAACTAAAACGCCTAATTTTAATGTAATTAAAAGAATCAAAGTCTGATTGACAATTGTGATGGTGCAATTTTAAACTAGAAGTGTCCACGATACACATGCAAAGTTTTGAAAACCTCTTAACAATAATTAAATGACATAAACCATGGACAGGACTCAAGACTTCTTATCATAAATTTGTTGAAATAAATATGTGACTTTGGAGGGTTGCATAATATACGGCTGTTGTTTAAACATTAACGTGACTAATGTGCAACTCTATTCAATATTTGATATAGAAAGCTGAAATGCTAAAATAATTTCCTCGTTGTAATTTCAATAATTGCGTGCGTTCACTTTAGTCGATTGCTTCTGGATGTTGAGTTAAAGGCACAGTAGGTTTGAAACAGTAGGTAAGATAAGCATTTTGTATATTGTACCTCTGCTTCGCCCAATACCTTACTCTGAGTCGTTATCGTTTGCATTTGCATTTGCATTTGCACTTGAACATCAGTAAAAGATACGGTAGAATATGATGTAATGTTTTTTGACGAATGCTGGCCAATATACGAGAAAGAGAAAGTGAAATCGAAAGTCAATTCTTGAAAGTTATTATGTCCTCACGTTATAACCCATTTCACTTCCTTCTATTAGATTTGTTATCATATGAAAACGAAGGCACACCAATATTTGCTCGACGAGGGTTGAGGGCTGCCACCAATAAATCTCACTCATTCAGTAGATTTTTTGGGTAATACAGTTTCCGATAACGTAAGTTCTTTCGGACAGATATTTTTACATTCAAGCTTAAACCTTGACTTTCTTTAAGATAAATTGTCTCTTCATAATGCAGCTAAATGTTGCATTAAATCTGTTAGGGCCCAAAATGAAAATAGAACGTCTAACTAGGGGTCGTCTACGATATTTCATCGTTACTCAAGGAACACAAGAAAGTGTATTATAGTTAAATATGATCTTTTAATGAAGAGTGCAATCATATAAAATTTAATTTTAGACACAACCACGCACGATATTTTTGTATTACTATAACAAACCCTTTTTCTTTTTCTCCAGGTTACTGAATATGTTGGATTAAACGTTACTCTATGATTTGCGATGTCTGCCACAGAGGAAAGTAGACCAATTCTTCCTCCGATATTTGAAGATGACGACGGCTACTTAGTTGGACCATTACGCGGATCTAAACCAAAAGCATGGGTACTTGGAACAGTTTTAACTTTCTTCTTCATATCTCATGGTATTGCCATTCCTACTGAATATTATTACGCTGAATATTACTTGAAGAAAAAGTATGGACCACCCGAGCACACAGATACTTCTGTCAAATATTATACATCTGATGGATACAATGGTTATTACAACTTACAATCGAACCTTGATCAAAATACCACTGATTTAATGAATAAAGCTATGACAACGTTTTTGGTGTATAATAAGGTTTGTGACGGGCTTGGAATCATCCCCGCCTTGTTGATTGGGCCTGTGATCGATAGTGTGGGCAGACGGATTGGATTGATCTTACCAACTGTTGGAATTCTCATCAAGGCTATTCTATTTTATTTATTTATCTTTTTTGATCTGAATATGTATTTCATATTAATTGGATGTTTAGTTGAAACTGTCAGTGGTGGCTGGGTAGTCATGGTTTTATCGTGCCTGGGAATTTTTGCTGATTCAACACCACCAGGAGAAGAACGATCATTCAAGTTTACCGTGGTTGAAGGTATTCAGGTTATTGGTATCTCAGCCTCTATTATACTAACCACCTATTGGATTGACCAGTTTGAAGAGGATATGTCAAGTCCAATGATTATTGCGATGTTGTTTGCTGTATTACCGTTGATCATAGTATTGTCACTAGTTCCTGAAACACTTGATCATACAGTATCCTTTACCTGTTCTCTTCAGACTTTAACAAGATGTGCCAAGATATACAAGAACACGGATCATTACCCGAAAAGAAAATGGATTATGTTTGCGCTACTAGTGTGTATCATCTTAGAATCGTCTGTTGGTTTCACCAAAAGCAACATACAACAACTAGTGCTAAGATATGATCCGCATTTCAAATGGTCGAGGACAAAAATAAGTTTCTATGTTTCGTTATCTCTAATAATTTGTTGGGTTGTCGTTCTTATCACAACAAAGTTGCTTCAGAGATTCCTGAAATTGGAGGATCTATCATTTGCAATATTAGGTGGCATTTCATTACTGACGTCTTTACTGATGTTCTCCATTGCAGCGGCTGATGCCATGGCATATGGAGGTAGGTAATCGGGTTTTATTAAAGGAATATTAGAAGGAACATAAAATTCCAGAGTCTCAAACTTTAACTTGGTCTATAAGTGTATTTACCAGGTAACATAACTGAAGAATAGATTTCCATAAAAGACCATAATATATCCATTAAACTGAATGTCTTCTGATATAGATTATATATTCAGTGTTATAGAACAATGATATGTTTATACTGACTCTTCTTCTGTTATAGATTATAGTATCAATCTTATATTCATACCGAATCTTCCAGTGATATACATTATAAAATCAGTGTTATGTTAATACTGAATCCCCTCTGATATAGATTATAGAACCAGTGCTATACTGATACTGAATCTTCTTCTGGTAGAGAAGCAGTGTTATGTTGATACTGAATCTCTTTCTGATATAGATTATAGTATCGGTATTATGCTGAAAGGACTATTTACTGTAATTACAATATTTACATTTCAGCTGTTGCTGCCGGAACGTTGGCTTATATGATACCACCGATGATCAAATCATTTGCTTCTAAACATGTCCTACTCAGAGAGCAAGGTAAATCTTTCACTATTCAAAACTTTGATACTTGATAATATATTATCGACATCTTGCTGAATATAGAAAAGAGTTTGGGAAAGCATGGAAAGATAGCATAAGCGTCTTCATGTTCAATTCATATTCCGCCGAGGTCTCATTGAGATAGGTCGTATTGATATGAAGTTGTATGTCTCAAATCCGTAGAGAGCATTGTACAGTCTACATCACATAATTATAAGGCATAGAATGTTCTTGTATCAACACACGGGTATACGATGAACACCGGAATATGCTACGTCTTTCTTGTCGGTGGTAATGATCTTCAAACATGAAAACTAGAAAACAGGAAGGATCGTGTTTTCAGAATTTATGCCATAGAGATTCTTTCTATGGACTAAATCTTAAATTCTCGACAATTTAAGGGTGTCATGAATGTATGTTTGTATTTCCTTTTAGGTTCTTTATTTGCTGGGTTTGCAGCCTTTAAGATTGGTATTAGTTCTATAATGGGTGGTGTCATTGAATATATCTACAGGGAAACTGCCTCTATTTATAGAGGATTTCCTTCACAAATCATGGCATTGTTCACATTGATAGTCATTATTCTACTCATGTAAGTATCCTAACTTTTAGCGATCCCGGGAATGCTTAACTTGGCTGATTACTGGAAATGGAGGTCTATGTATAGATACAAACAATTATGTCTAATTTTGCATTTGTCGTGGTGAAAATTCTCGAAAGCTAGAACTCGAAAATGGAGCAGCTCCCATTAAAGCCAACAAGTTACAAGAAAGCTCTTCGACAGCGGAACGAGTCAAATCACGAATACTTCCTAAGCAGCCATGACGGGGTATATTTACTCATCTAGACACCTGATACCACTTTTTCCTTATGAAATACTTCCTCACTTATGATTGATGTACTAATGTACAATAGCTGCTTCTAATGTTTCGCCAATATTTTGGATTGTTAGTAGGCTACATGCTTAATTCACCTCGACATGGTGCAAAGCCGATTGATGACGTATGTGCGGCAGATATGGTTACTACGATAAACTAATTGATGCATTAGGGCAAGGACTTCGAGGATAATCCCGTAACACCGGCTAGTTGCCGGAAAACGCGAAGAAAACGCTAGAAAAAGTCTCGTAAAATTAAAAACTTTACACCAGTCGCTATCAACCTGCGACATAGGTGAACATATTGCGTTCCCAAGGCGCGTCTTTAATACAATCTATTGGTGTACTTCATTTTTATACGCCCAGATGAAATAAGGGGAAGGGGTCGTATATTGTCGTCACCCATGTCCGTCGGTCAGTCCGCCCGTCCGTCAGTCCGGAAACACTCTAGAAAGTGCAACGGATTTTGATGAAATTTGGTGTGAATGTTTGTTATCAATCCTACTGAAAATCAGAAAAATCGTAAAATACTTAGTATGAGTTATTGTCCTTGTTCGTGAAAACACGTAAACACTCCAGAAGGTTATTGACAGTTTTGACAAAACTTAGTGAAAATGTTTGTTATCACCCAAGGATGAACCTTTTGAAAATCAGACAAATCTAAAAAATAATTAGTATTGCCCTTGTTCTTGAAAACGCATTCAATTTTAGCTCGTATACACTGATGGTGTTCAATTTTTACGAAACTTGATGTTAGTGTTTCACCCATGGATGAACCCCATTTAAAAATCAGAAAAATATTTAGTATTAGCTACCATAAGTGTTATGTTAATGTTTTCGATTATTTATCAATACTTTACTATTACTATTTTCAGTATCTTGAAAGTAAAAACTAGATCTGAAGTACGATATGGATATCAAAGACTACCAGAAGATCAGAATCCATTTGAAAGAGAACAATCATAAGAAAATCTATGTCCTGGTTAATTTATCTCATAGCTTTTGCATTTATATATACTTTTATATCATTATAGTAAATCTCAAATAAATTTATACAGTTTTTCTTAAATACAGATATAAATAAATAAAGCAAATTTAATTCAATTTCAATTCAGTTATTGACACAGTTGCAGGCTGGAAAATCTTATTAATTAAAGTCCTATCGGCGTTTGAAAGTCAGATGTCCTTGAATAAGTCATCTTCACTCATAATTCCGGTTGACCCAACTGAATATACCTAGAGGTTTGGCCAGCTGGAGAAAGGATCCTTAATTGTGAACTAAGCTGTTACCCTTTTAAAATATAGGCGTTTCTTTTTTCTTTCTCTTTTCTACAGCCCTCAAACACGGGATTGAAGTTGGTGCATTAAAAAATTGTCAACGTTTGACCTACTTATTTCCACTTAGGTGCAGGGTCGATCTCTGCAAGTAGAGAATCAATGTGGACAACTGAACTTGTCTGGAGTGTGTAGCGGGTCAAATGTGAGTATTGTTATATATAGATATACATTACTGATCTTGTGATGAACTGTTGACATGTGACCTAGGTATACCAGCACGAGTAATTGGAGAGGAGATTTTATAACATGAATAATCTTATGACACATGACATAATTATATCGTATTTATTAAATACTTCCTCAGATTTCTTTTTCTTTTATGATTTCACCTGATTATTAATAACATTAGCAAGTCTGAATTATGTTCTGGTCAATCGTGTAAAGTTGAAAAGACAACGACCGTCTTACCCCCAATGATAGTTTTATAACAATCTATGATAATGTGGCCTTGGAATACCCATGCACTTAGATCGACCTTTTAGTGAGAGGAAAGAACAGTTAATTCCAAGGAGTAGGTAACCCCATAGTTTGTGTCTCCGAAACCTTTGAACAAGTTAAAATCCTTTCCTTATCTAACCCCTTTTGACTTGTAGTGTAACCTCAAGTTAACCTTACAGTTAACCTTACATTCAACGCCAAATCTTAAAGGGACAGATTCGCCATCCGTTTAACCAACCGTACCTTTGTCTCAGAAACGGGAATTTGATTTAGCTAAGCTAATGAGCAAAGGTGTTCACATCTCACTGTCGAAATATATAATTATACAATTAATAATAAAATCCATGTGTGTCCAGAATTAACCGCGTTTGTAAGTTAAAAAGACGACTCTCGTCTTTTCTTATTGAGACTTTTCCATATAAGAAAAAAACATAATATAGACATAATAAGAGAAATTCCTAATTATTGAGGTATAGAGGAAGGAATTACGCGATTTTTGTATATTTCTAATTCTCTTAAAGACGGTTTACATAATTATATCCCAGATCCAAATCAATCCTCAAAATGGCGAATTTGTCCCTTTAACTCAGGTCTCGGTGGCCGAGTGGTTTTTGCACTTGCCTGGCAATTATGAGGTTGCGTGTTTTCGATGAGCCAGATTGTGAGATAAATATATTATATCATTTCGATGACAGATACTGTACCTCGGGGTCACATTCACGACATCAAAAGGGGGTATAGTCGTTTAAAAAGAAAGCTCTACTCTCTGTTGTAGGGAGTGTTGATGACGTAATTTTGTTATTATTTGTATTTTTTTGTGTTTTAATACTTCCGATGATACATTTACGGTTATTGGTATGCAGACACAGTTTGAATTTAAACTACACCAGCAAAAGGTACTACAACTATAACTATAGGTATATTACTATTGCTGATAACATTAGTTGAGTCGAGTGGAGGTGAACATAGTCGTCTCGTTTAGATTGAAGTATCTTCGTGTGGCCCGAAATGGCTAAGATGTTGCCTATTGTGCCTAAATATTAACTAGATATGTGTTAAATACTACTTGTGCTGTGTCGTGGATTTACTGAACACCTCTCGTGAGACAAAAATGGGTCCGTCGAAAGAATCAAATCCTCTAAAAAAACTTGATCTTCAAAGAAACTTACCTGTTGATTTTCCATACGTTCGAGCGTGGTTTGTTGTTGGCTTTGGTATTATTTTGTACATGCTATCAGCTATTTCAATTGTTCCACTGACATCTCAATATATTGTGTCGAGATTATCTCTCTCTCTGAAAGTTAACAATAGTACCAATATATCTGTAGTAAATGTGTCGAATGCATGTAATGGATCAATACTTGGACCAGAGCAAATCAAAATCCAAAAGGAAGCTTCACTCCTGTCGCTTTATTACGCACTTACTTCGGGTGTGGCTGCTATTGCTATAAATTTAATATTGGGACCTTTGTCAGATTTTATTGGTAGAAGAATCCTGTTCATTATTCCAATCGTTGGCTTGTTTCTGAAATGTGTTATTACCAGTTTAATCGTATATTTTGATTTAAATTTGAATTTGATGTATCTGGCCTCAGCTGTAGATGGGTTATGCGGCTCTTACTATGCTATATTAGTTGCGAGTTTTACGTATTCTGCTGATGTGACGGTTCCCGGGAAGAACAGAACAGTTGCTATTGCGTGTATGGAGGGATGTTTGGCGGTTGCTGCATCAGTTGGGGCTTTATCTTCGGGGTTCCTAATAAAATCTACGGGATATTTTTATCCTGTGTTAATGTTCGCTATAGCGGCTGCTATTAATTTAACGCTTACTTTTTTCTGTCTACCCGAAACACTTACAGAAAAGAAGCAGCCAGAAAAATCACCATTATATCATATTAAAAAAGTGTTTGGTTTCTATTTCTCTAATGGAAGTAAAAGATTGCTGTATTCTGTTCTAATGGGAATGTTCTTTTTTGGCGTGGTCGTGGTTTTAGGACGAACTTCTTTGGAAACAATATATCAACTAGGAGAACCATTTTGCTGGAATTCTGTTAAAATAGGATATTTTGGTGCTTTACGACTAACCGTACAATTTTCCTGCAGTATTTTATCCATAAAATTTCTCCAAAATTATTTCAAAGACGAATATATAAGTATACTGTCGAGTGTATTTGCTACTGGAGGATTTATAGTGGAAGGTTTGGCTCAAAATTCATTGATGATGTATCTAGGTAAGTCCGGTTTTAATTCCATGGCATGCCCAGGCTAGTGCTTCCAATGGAAGTTATGTAATTATCATACCATAATCTAATTTACACCATACCAAACTGCACAACGACAGGAATCAAATGCCTTTGATGAAGGCCAATGAATTGGCTTCAAGGCGAAGCAGCTCAAATGTCTGATTTTAGCAAGGATCTGCAGGACTACAAGTCTCTTCCCCCTCCTACATTTATGATTCTTATAATTCAATTATTATATATTATTCAATAATTGTAATTATGTTGATAAGCATATTCTATGCTTTGGTTTGTCTTACAAACATTCAAATTTTGAATGTTTCAATTTCAGTACCTGTGGTGGGTATTATTGGATCCTCAACTGTTCCTATCGCCAGATCTCTTATGTCCAAAATGACTCCGCCAGAAAAACAAGGTAACTATGAAATCTGGTTGAATATCATAATAACAGCTCAGAAACCTTATGCAATAGACTTTAGAATTACATGAGAAGTCTCACCTCAACATAAACGGAAATCAGTAACTTGTACATTGTGAAAACAAAAATCAGTTAATGGTTCCAAACAAGGAGACTGGAATCAACATAAAGATCGCCAATTTTATACCTTTACTGTATTGAATTCAATACTATTAAGTTCCTACGCCAGTATCCTTGAAATTTGTCTAGATCCACAATCTATATTTATGTTTTCAGGGGCTCTATTTGCCAGTATTGCCATTGTAGAAACAGTTTGTAACAGTGCCAGTAATTCACTATATAATCTGGTCTATAATGCCACAGTAGAGCATTTTAAAGGAGCTGTATGGTTTATGATGGCTGGCTTTTGTATTATTGCTATAATGTTTACTTTGTAAGTATTCGAGAACTAATTTACACCAAAACTTATGCAAGATAGTGGGTGGGTTGGCTTGTGAAAAAACGGCAGTAACCGGTTTTAAAAACTTCAGACTGTGGTTTCACGATCCTACCTTTGTTCATGAATATTGTTCAGAATCTGCCTTTGGAATCCGAACAAAAGTTACTGGGGAAACTGAGAATAATTTGGGCTTTGTAACTCTTCAAGCCCTGGTAATAACTGTGGCTGGTCCATAAATCCAATGATGTTCATTTAGAAATATATATCTATGTGTAGCCCTATTTGTATAATTATTATGATGTTTTGCTATTGTTTCAGATTGTATACCTTTTTATCAAGAGGATATGTTGGTAAGACTGTACTGGAGATTGATGTTTCTGTAAATGATTCGAGTTATGGAAGTACCAAATCTATTGTTCAAGATTGAAATTATTATTGAAAACAGCTTATATTTTTTATTTTCTCCAACGTGTAACAATCTCTATGATTAACAAAAAAAAAGAAGAAGAAAAAAAAAGCGATAACTAGTATTATCATGTAGCAATTTACAAATTATTTATCATGTAGTATAAAAAAACGTTTGTAATGTATTTATTTTAATTTGAAATAAATAAAAAGGAAGTCTATATTATCAAATGTAATAATATGACTATTAATATAAGTATTACCCACTACATCACAATCAAATTGAAATACAGCTCTCGACATTTTGCTGTAGCGTACTTCACACCAATTATTTGTTCTTAAATAAATGTGTCATACCATAATATATTCGTTGCGTTTTTGTTATATATGCTCTCCACTCCTAGATGAGTTTCAAATCCTATGAAAATATGTACAAGAAAAGTATGTGAACTATACCTATTTATCCAGTTGAATGAGAACATACTTATCACTTAGCAGAATTAGCAAAATATTTGGCATTTTACATTTCCATAATGCAAAACCTACTTCGTTTGCGAAAATACAGTCAAGTAATATTTCATTTAAAGATATAATCAATTTTTGGAAGTAACTTAATACACAGAAAATTTATGAAAGATTACGAATTCTGAAAAGTATTACAGTTGCATTGATAAAATCAAATTTCAAGTATTCAGATCCGTTTTAAACTTCCTAAAACATTTTCCTGGTTTCAAGATAAAATTAACATTCAAATTATATGGAGGTACATGTATTCATTTTATTTGTAGGTATCCTAGACCAAGTAAAAATAAAATGGAAGATATCCACATGTAGGTCACATAGTTGAATATATTTTTAAATCCAATACTTTGATACTATGATGTAGGTTTACCTATCAGATAAGACATAATTGATGCGCATTGACCTATTTAGATAATAATAAAAAATCGGTGACCTTGTGGGCGTAAAATGTACAAAATAAGCATCATTTTAACCTTATGTGCGGTTAAAGCACCAGCATCAACGATTGTTTATACATTCGATACTTCTCAAGGACTTGGACGTCGGTTTGATGGTATTGGTGGACTTAGTGCAGGAGCATCCTCAAAACTCCTTGTAAATTATCCTGAAAAACAGCGAGATGAAATCTTGGATCTTCTCTTCAGACCAAATTATGGAGCGAATTTTCACATTTTGAAAGTTGAAATTGGCGGAGATGCACAAAGCACTGATGGCACAGAAGCATCACACATGCACTATCCATGGGATAAAAATTATCAACGTGGATATGAATGGTGGTTGATGAAGGAAGCCAAAATGAGAAATCCTGATATCAAGTTGTATGGATTACCTTGGGGTTTCCCTGGCTGGGTCGCAAACTATACAGAGAATCCTTACGCTGATCGACAACAACTAGCAATGTACATAGTTAACTGGATAAAAGGTGCCAAGACCGAGCATAATCTGGATATTGACTACATTGGAATCTGGAACGAAAGAAAGTACGACATCGAGTATGTCATAACCCTGAGAAAAACCTTGGATGAAAATAATCTATCTTCAGTTTTGATTATTGCAGCTGATGATTTTAATTGGGATCAAATCAGTGCCGATATTTTCACTCATCCAGAGTTCAATAAAGCGGTTTATGGCATTGGTATTCATTATCCAGGTACAAAGAGTTCAGTTAGTGCTGTGGATACAGGAAAGCCATTGTGGTCTTCTGAGGACTTCAGTACAGTGGATGATGTGGTTGGTGGTGGTTGCTGGGCCAGACTTCTTAATATGAATTACGTCAATGGTCTCATGACTAGCACGATCTCTTGGAGCTTGATTGCAAGTTGGTATAATGGACTTCCTTACAGTGGAGCTGGTCTCATGACAGCCTTTGAACCTTGGAGTGGACATTATCAAGTGACAACACCTTTGTGGGTGTCTGCTCATACAAATCAGTTCGCCAAACCTGGTTGGCATTATCTAGCCCATGGCAAGGGGGTTGGTAATTTTACGTTTGGAGGAAGTTTTGTCTCTCTACAGAGCCCAGATGAACAAGATTTTACTATAGTGATAGAAACGATTTCGCATAACATGTCTGTCTGTATTCGACCATATCTCCCACCATACACAGTCCAGAATCAAACAGTTGTAATTAAACTGGAAGGGCCTTTGAAGATTATTAATAAGTTATCTGTATGGTACAGTAAGTTGTCTAAAGAAGAACCTTCTTCAATGCTCATACAGAAGACTGGAATTCTAGTCACAGATGGACAGTTCCAGATGGATTTGGGTATTGATGAAATCTGGACTTTGACTACAGTAACAACTGGTGCGAAAGCAAAGAGAGAACCACCTCCCAGCAAACCATTTCCAGTACCATACTTTGATGATTTCGAGAACTCATCGGAGTTTAGTGAACCGAACAATCTAACGCCTCAGTTGAGAAGTTATGAGGTTTTGAGGAACAGTACCACTCAAAATCAATTCATACGACAAACATCTCTCCATAATCCTGTCGAATGGTGCGGAAACGATAATCATCCTCGAAGCTTTGCCATTATAGGATCCAATGATCTTAAACATATTGGAATCAGCGTGAAGTTTAATTTGGATATCGCTAACGCAACTGACGGTGTATTTCTATCAACAAGAGTTAACGCTACTGGATGTGCTTCAATACAATCCAGTGGAGTGTTCTTCAGTATCTATCCAAAATTGTCAAAGTTTGTAGTCAGCTCAGATTTTGAAGGACTTCATCCACTACAGGAAGGTACCCTGACAAAGATTCCTGTTTACAGTCGGTGGAATGAACTGGAGCTTCAAGTTGCTGGTAATTATGCTTGGGGATCTCTGAACAATAAAGAATTATTCGATATTAATAATATACCAGATGACCCTAGTATGGGTTTTGTTGGATTAGGAACTACTGAATATGGACTGGCCGACTTTGATGATTTAAGACTGTTTGAACCAAAACAGGACATCTTCAAATTGAAATTCAGCGTAGTTGTGTAAGCATTAAAATATACAAAAGTAACTTAAAAATGGGTCTATTAAAGCTCCTTGGTATACATCACACTTCTGATTTTATCTTAAAAAGATAGCTTGCCAGGCAAGGTAACATACGCCCACTGGCAGCTGTCAATGATTAAACAGTCTTTAGTGACTACAGGGTTGCACAATATAACTAATAGAGTGAAACGTCACGTCAGACACGATATTTCGGTGAAATATCCGATCATCGCGAAAATCGATAGGGATCATCTTCATAATGACATTGACATACAAAATAAAAATCAAAAGAATCTGTAAAGAATTGTAGCCTGTAGAGTGAGCACGAGTTGCACAATATAGCTAATAGAGTAAAACGTCAGGTCAGACACGATATTTCGGTGAAAAATTACCCGATCATCATTAAAATCGATAGATCATCATGAAAATCAATAGGGATCATCTTCATAACGACATAGACATACAAAATAAAAATCAAAATAATCTGTAAAGAATTGTAGCCTGTAGAGTGAGCACGAGCCAAATGTGAACGGACGGACGGACCGACGGGGTGATTACAATATACGCCCATCTTACGTGTGGGCGTATTAAAAATGTTTACATACATACATATTATTCTGACCTATCACCCAGTTTCGTGAAACCGGTAAAACGAAACGTAGCAACCGTATTATGTCTTGGGATCCACCACAGTGATGTGATTGGCAGGGTTAATTAAACCAATTAACCAAGAAACTAGAATTTCACAAACAATCCGCAACACTTTTAAACTTCGGACATTGACGTCAGATTTTCATTTTCGAAAAGTGATACGGACTGCATGTTCTACCAACTATTGAAATATAAATTTTTACAACTGTTACACTTGAAACAGGAAAATTTCTTGGTGTTATTTGCATGCCATAGAATTGCATAGCATCAAGTAGAGTTGACTTAAAATAGTATTTTGATATCATTTATTATATAATACATAAAACATTACAATAAAATATTATGTGATATATGTATAAATTGTATTGTAGATTACTGTGACTAGATATTGATTGTGAACATAAAATGAAATGACATACATTATATTCATTTTCGTTAGTTCTTACCCAATTCTTTTGAAAAGTATTTCTCTGTGAATGGTTTTCTGGACAACTTTTTTAATTTTGAAAATGTATAATGTATAATCTTTAAGATGTAAATCATGTTGTGTAAATTGTAAGTCACAGCATATGTACATCATTATGCATGATATAAAATAAGGCATCCATAAATAGATAAAATAAAATTTGATAAATACAACAATTTAACAACAATTTGTCAGACACTATCTAATATCTATCTTGATATTATATGATTGAGATATAAATGAATAAATGAGGCATAAATAAAATGATCTCCAACAACAGATTATAATAAAAAAAAATATTGTCAAAAATAAATTAATGCACCTTGTAATTTCATTATAGAGTCCTTTATATTTCAATACAGAATTTGACAAATTTCCTTAATGAATCTGGCAAATTTCATTAATGAATCAGACAATTTTTGTTACATAATAATATTTACTAAATGCACATCTACAACACTCCTATTTCCTTAATGAATCAGACATCACATAATTCATTACCGGACTAAAGCTTACATATTTCATTTCTAAAACTGATATGTCATTTTGAAACCTGACATTACTATATCTGACATATTTCATTACTAAATTGAACATATTTCATTACTAAATCAAACATATTTTATCACTAAATCAGACATAATTCATTACTTAATCTGACATGTTTCATTACTAAATCAGACATATTTCTTTACTAAATCAAACATATTTCATTTCAAAATCAGTTATATTTCATAACTAAATAATTACTTTCATCTGACATATTTCATTACTAAATCAGACTTATTTCGTTACAAAATCAGACATATAATATTACTAAATCAGACATTTCTTAACTAAATCTGACATATTTCATTAGTAAATCAGACATATTTCTTTACTAAACCTGACATATTTCATTAGTAAATCAGACATATTTCTTTACTAAACCTGTATTTCACAAAATATTTCAATACAAAATCAGTCATATTTTATAACTGAATCAGACATGATTCACTACCATACTATATCTGGCATATTTTTTTCTTCATCTGACACATTTAATACTAAATCAGACATTGTCATTACTAAATCTGACATATTTCACTTCTATACTAAATCTCAAAAGTCATTACTTAATCAGACATATTTCATAACCAATAATTGAGATTACACTTATAAAAATTGAATTCTTTAACAAATCTGGTAATAGTACTTATATGTTGTACCCCTATTAGTATTTACTTTCGTGAAAGTAATTGTCTACAAACTGATGTACTAAGATTGTTTTTGTGAATTTACACACTTGAATGTCAGTGACCATATAGGGTGCATTAATACATATTCATATCACAATAACAATTATAAGTTGGTCACAATATACAAAATTGGAATGTATTACGAAATCAAATAGATAAGAAATGCTAAGATTTTACATTTAATTTTCTCAGCAGCACAACCACATTATTTCCAATATTCTAGATATCCCAAGCTTCAACCCATTTTAAACCATACATCATTCCATTTTCATCACTAGCCATGGGCCCAGCCATTCCATATGTCACTGGATGGAATAGATAGAAGCTGAAAAAAATAAAACAATTTAGAATCAAAATGAAAAATTCATTATCAAAGAACAAATTATTATTTTTTTTCTAGTAGGCCTAGAGAACTGGGCAAGAAATCTCAACATGCGTCACCTATAAACTGATGACAGTTCAAAAAGATTTGAAGGTTTTGGATAATTTTCACGGTTCATGGTTGAAATATTTGTAATTATACATGATAGATAACTAGAGTCCAATCTAGCTTGAATGACAAGTGGGTAAATAAAAGCTGACAAGTGACATCTTACCTATACACTATAGAAGATAAAACAGTTAATATTGAACCAAGGTAAAATTTGGCTATATATTTTTCTGGTAGTAAAAAACACACCCTTGCTATCATGTAGTCCAACATTATACCTGAAATATATTCAATATGATAAATTGTAATTGATCAAAGTATCTGTGACAGGGAAGGTGAGACTATTCAATTTTTCAAGATCAGGAAGCCAGACAAATTCATTTTCTTGTTTTACAGATTCTCCTACCTCAATTTTCCAGAAATCAAAGAAAAAAAATCATATTCAAGACAAAATCCATAAATAAAGAAAATAAATTACCGGCCTAATAGCGTGATATCAGAGTAACTTCAGGTAAAGCAAAGAGGATTATCAAGAAAGATATTAACTGGGTAGAGTAATTTCAATAGAAACATCACAAGTTGGGTAAAGAGTGATCCAGGAATAACATAAAAAGTTGAATGAGTAATGTAATAAATCATAACAGGGTGATGTCAAAAGTAACATCATGAGCTGTACATTCCATGAGTATGTGATGACTTATGAGATGTGATGACTTATGAGCTAAATGCATCACATAACAGATTCAAACCTAATATTAACAATATAGATGTAACACAAGTTTACCTGTTAACATAGCACTGTATAAAAAGGCAGGAAAGTAATGGTGGAAATATAAAACTCTGGTCATTGTCCAGAATGGTAAATAATGTAAACTCCATCCCAATAACAACCACCAACAAGCATTGAACATTTTATTATGGTAGGCTGAAATTAATCCAAATATAGAAATACTTAAAGATGGGTTTCCTTATTATTTAGTGTCAAATTAAGCAAACTATTCGATAAATCTGTGTTTCTAATGAATTATTAGGTATTCTCAATCATATTATTGTGTTCTTATTGCATATAATTAAGAGTTGTAACCAATCATAAATGTCCATGTATGTACAGTCTGGATAAACAAAAAAAGACTTTTTGACTTTTCTTGATCGGTCACTTGTTGAAATTCTGCTGGTAATTCTCTTCTAATTTAGCTAATTATGAATTAATTATGGACATTTGAGACAAACTGGTATTTTACCAAGTCATTGGAACACCTTTCTTTTAATATAAGAATTAGCATTTTCATTTTCATAGATGAAAATAAGGGAACCCACCTTTAAAACTATCAGCAATATTATTATGTGTTTGCATTTACGTTAATTCCTAAATCCCCTCAAAGCAGTATTTTGTTACAAAAAATTTCATGGCTATAAGTTTTAGCGATGCAATTTTTTGGGGGTAAAATTGCGTAAAAATTAACCAATAGAGGCAGTTTTTTTTTACTAGACATTACCAACTCAATAGCTTTAAACCAATTGTCTATCTTACATTAAACTGTAGGTTGAGTAACCAGCTAAACACAGAACACAGTGGCAGGCAACAAACAAAATTTCATAATACTATACCTTTTAAAACTTTAGGTATTTTGATTCCTCTCTGGCAGCGTATAGAATATACAGTAAACATCATCAAAAATATCACCATGACAACCAAACATAACCAGAATATGACAGGATTACCTAGTAGATATATTCTATAATCTTTACCTGAAAATATCTGACCCTGAAAATATTTCAATATATCTTATTAGTCAGATAATATAGTCAGAATAAATATCATTCTCAAGATCTCTTTTTTTTAATGGTAGCTTCCTGATACTTGCAACTATATTAACATTTTTGATTTTTGATGCTCCTATCAGGTTCTTAAATCAATCATACAGTTGTCTGACATGGGGTAACTTAACTTACATTTTAGGAACTACTGTAATATGATTGGTTAATGTAACCATATTTAAATCTATTGAAAACCAATCAGATGAAAATAATGGTATTTTACCAGTTAAGTTTAAGGGCATTTGAAATCTGAATTGTGACTTGATGGAGGTAGAAATGTAATGATTTAAATACCCTATAATTGATGGGCCACTGCCATGGTCTTGATGTTATTTCTCCTTCTTTAGGTTTTAACCCACTGTTTCCCTAGAAGATATTATACAACATAATATATTACATTATATTTTTTTAAACACGAAATTAACATCACTAGTCACGGATATAGTCAAAACAATCTTTTAAAAATCCTCCTGCAAAGTAGGAAACATTGAAAAGTCATTGAGCAGACCTGTTGTCTTGATATAGACTTGACAGAAGAATTCGAAATAGATGCAATCATCTTCTTGTACCATGCACATCTCTTTTAAGCCAAAAACCTATTAAATAGTCCAATTCTGTGAATCAGCTAGTTCTGAAATTAATTTCTATTAATTACTATTTGTGTTGTCTATTAGCATAGAGTACATGACGTCTGCCTCTGAAAATAATGGCTGTCATAGTGGATACAATACACGAGTCTATAATCAATAGATGACAAACCTGAGTCATTACGGCATGACTTTCTATAACTTTATCAATAAAACTTGGTGAATAGACATCAAAATTCACATTGGGTACTGAAATAAGATCATCAAATTAACATTATTACTTATAAAAACACTTGAAAAAGAAAGATCACTTGAAGTACAATTGCAGAATAGCATTAATAAAATTTATTGTTACATTTCTTCTGTGGGATTAAGTAGGCATTTAAGCCATGGTTAAGCTAAGATGGATATTATGTGAATTCCATGTCTTACATCTATCATCTTTGACTTCCTCTACACTCCATAAAGCTTTAGGTTCTTTAATATTAGGATGACATGTAGCTTCTAACTGTTCCCAACCCCTACAAAATATTGGTGATGATATTAAACATGAACAAAAGAAAAATTTCTTTTTCTGATAAAATGTTGTAAGAGCATCTATGTATGGTTTTTTTTTTTTGCAATTCTTTAAATACTTTCAGCTTAATTTATCCCTGAGGTCTTCCTCAATACAGTTGCATCTATTGTAAAAATAAGGGTTTGTAATATTACTGTCATACCATTCTATAAAAGAACAGTGAAATATCTTGAGTCAAAATCATTTTTATGTTATTAATTCAAATGATGCAAAAAATATCAGACTTTGCAAGCAAGGCAGAAAATCTTTTCTTTCGAATCAATCAAAATTTAAATGTAAGAAAAACCTACCATTTTGGTAACTTTTTGTCATTTGAATGTAAAGCACAGCGTACATGTAGATGAATAATTTTTAATTTAGATCTGACAGTTTGTACTGGAGTTCCTTTACTAGCACCTTGTATTTCAATCACCCAAATATCATTAGCATCACCTGTACCATTCTAATATATACCATACAAATTTCATTAAAGATGGGTTTCCATATATTTTAGTGTCAAATTAAGCAAAGTTGATAATTGGTGTCTCTAATGAATTATGTATTCTTAATCATATCATTTTGTTCTTATTGCATATAATGAAGAGTTTTAATCAATCATAAATGTCCATATATGTACACAAAACCAAAAACAAAACAAACACAAAAAAAGACTTTTTGACCTTTCTTGATCAGTCAATCATTGGAATTCTGCTGGTAATACTCTTTTAATTTAGCTAATTGTGAATTAATATATGAATTAATTATGATCATGTTAGACAAACTAGTATTTTTTCCAAGTCATTAGAACACCATTTCATAAATGAAAATAAGAAATTGAATCATAATGCAGCCTTGTCCATCTGTTTAGATATTCCCATACAACATTAGTATTTTATGTAACAACTTTGTTCTATTTGGGGTTAAAAAAAAGATCATTAAGTCATCTCGTCAGCATCTGGTTACATTAAAAGCCTGTAAGACCCCTTTTATGGAATCCTTTGTCTCTAACACTTCTTCATTTATTGCTAATTTTGATTAAGATGTTCTAATATTGGACAGTTTGGTCTTACATAAACTATTAACTAAAGCTAAAGCCTATGATTTTGGATTTTATCATCAGTTTTAAGAGGAAAAAAGGCAGGAAATTTGAAAAATGTACCTGTCCATAACCAGAAACTTGATACTGTCGTCTACTAATAGGAGCAGGCTCTCTGTGACTGTGAAGATTTCTATGCGTTCTACAATAGAAAATATAAAACACCCCGGTGGATTTCAATTTGATCTTTTATCAGCTAGTTTAATAATATAACACAATCTTAATTACACTACATGTTCTAGTCTAATAGCGTCACCTCTACATAAACTTTGAGGTGGAGTATTCATATCAACGTTTTTATCAGCTAGTTTTATAACTCAATTATATTACTTACACTACATGTTCTAGTCTAATAGAGTCACCACTCCGTACAAATTGTGGTGGAGAATTCATATCAACGTTTTTATCAGCTGGTTTTATAAATCAATTATATTACTTACACTACATGTTCTAGTCTAATAGAGTCACCACTCCGTACAAATTGTGGTGGAGAATTCATATCAACGTTTCTATCAGCTGGTTTTATGATCCAATAATTATTCTCATCTTTATGACTGTATGTTGTTACCTGTGAAATATAATTCATAATGATATTTAAAAAAAATAAAGAAACAACTATTTTTTACAAGGATAACAGGTTCATAAGGATCCTTTCCAGCAGCTGGTCCCTGACCAAACATCTTGGCATTGATCTTTCCCTAATTATCCATACCCATTAAAGTTGGGTTGACTGGAATAATTTGGAAAGATGACTTATTTAAGGTCCTCAAACCATTTGTTTGATGTAACCAAGCACATCATACTGTAATGATTCTGAAGCCTACTTAATATTAATATAAGTAATGATGCACGATTCTGAAAGTTAATTGACTTACCTGCTGTTGTCTGGGAGGTAATTCATCTGGATAAAGATGCCAATGTGAGTGTAGATATGCTCCACCAGTTCTTCTTTGTTTTAAAGTTAAGACACTTCCATAAGCAATGTCTAGAAATGAAACCAATATTCTGAACACACTTAGATGATTTAATGTCTTCCGACTTTTGTGGGTAAATCCCATTGAATTAGCATATATATACTACGGATAATACCACAACAAAACGTTGAGATGTAAGTCAAGTAATCTAGTAGACCTGCACCACTGTATTGACATTCTGTACCAAACCTTTTGATGTTCAGGTTAGGGAGTAAGAGCTCAAGTTATATATTGAAAGACTCAAAAAAAAGTTATGACACTTACTAGCAGGCATACTGACATTATATAATTTATTTCCAATAAGTTGAGCTTGAAAAGCTGAGCTAAAAAATCCATCTCCATTACCACTGTAAAAGAAGTACACCCTTGTATATAATATAATATAATATCCTGACTTTAAGCTATTGAGTCCAAGACCTAAAGGTACTCCAAGCCCATTAACTTAGGTTCCAGTACAATGATTACTCTGTGAGTGTCAGGGCATGCCCAATTATCTGGACCTTATGGAACTAGGAGAGTCCAGCGTCTCATCAAGGTTGAAGCTTCAAGCGTTCTTTACATAGATCTAACATTTTTATGCTTCTAAGGTTAATCAAAGTATACTTAGGCTAATGTATGAAAAAAAACTTGATTTCTTGATAAAATAACAAAAGGAGTTTATGTCTCCCGTCTGTATACTCCCTTTCCTGTGTTAAATGCCTTAAGTACAATTGTCAAGACTAAATGGTCTGAGACAAAGAACTTAACTTACCTATGATTTAAAACTTTTAGATGTATTCCAAAAAATATAATATAAAAAACAGCAGGCACTAAAATCAACCCAATTACTCTAGCTATAAATTGTTTCACAATGTCCGTCTGGAAAATAGACAAAAATCTGTTAAATTAATACCCTAAAAACATAAATTTTGTAAATTCTTAGAATTTACTATATTTAAATACATAATACTTATGATCTATGATCTTAATGATACTTACAAATGTAAGAGAGAGGTCTCCAAATAAACTCCACAAATCTATAATAGTTGATATACCACATAATAATATCACAAATAATCCCACAAACTTTACTCTGAAATATCATACAAAATAATAATATCACAAATAATCCCACAAACTTTACTCTGAAATATCATACAAAATAATAATATCACAAATAATCCCATAAACATTACTCTGAAAAATAACCTAATAATATCACAAATAATCCCACAAACTTCCCCCTTAAATATCATACAAAATAATAATATCACAAGTAATCCAAAAAACTTTACTCTGAAAAATAACCTAATAATATCACAGATAATGCCACTAACTACAAATAATCCTTAACTTAACTCTGAAATACAACAATAATAATATCACAAAAAATGCCACAAACTACAAATAATCCCACAAACTTAACTCTGAAATACAACAATAATATCAAAAACACAAGATAATGTATGTAGTTTGCAATATGGAAAATCGCTATTAAGTTTAATAGATATTAATCAAAATTCCATTTGTTTTTTTCATTTGTTAAAATTTTATTAAGTATCATGCTTACCCAATTGAACAAGCTAAGAAAAAACCTGTAATAAACATCCACAACCACCATTTAAATGTATAAGATCTGAAATAAATAATAGAATACTAAATGTAATAACATCCTAGACAATAAGACTTTAATCCAAGCCTCTTACTTTAACCTGAAAGTTGACAACACTTTGTCTTTATACAACGGGCTGACTTCAATATTTTCATCTTTTTAGTTGTATCATGTTCAAATCCCTAGTTTGGATGATGTTAAATAGTGCAAAATCTGTAAAGGTAACTGACAGTAACTATTCACAGAATCAAAACGGATATAAAGTTCTCAATTCAATTTTCTTTCAATACTTATGTCTGGCTGGCATCACATGAATGAAGTGGTTTTTGCACGAAAAGGTCCCTGAGGAAAATGTGTGTCTGTAAACAATTGACCAATCGACGATATATATGGTACATAAGGGAAAATTAAGTTAAACAAAATGAACGCAACTCACACTGATAAAATAATCCAGTTTCTAAAAGCCAATGACTGACTCTATATCCATGTAAGAATAGATCTAGAGAGAAGCATACTAACATAAAGCATTATTGGTACCGGTACTTACTTTTTATTAAAAGATAAGAATTTGAGCATGGAATATGTAGCTGCCATGATGAAAAACAACATGATGGGGTCTAGTAGAATATGTCTAGAGAGGGTTAAAGTACCAGTATCTAATTAAATAGAAATCAAATAAATTATTCAAGTTTTAAATATCCTGAAATAAATTGGACCTTCATCTAAGTCGTATGTCATTGTATGATCAGTCATCAAAACTCTTTTTATCTCATGAGACAGAAATAAAGGACCGTAAAATAATGTTGTCAAATAAACATTAAAATATGTATACTATCTAATAGGTTTGTTTTTTTAAACTAAACCTTGTTTCAGATGGGCATCAAGTGTTCCTCTGTTTTACTCAAGCAAATATACTTCCTGTAGCATTATCCAGCCAATGCAATTATTTGTTTCAGAATGTAAATAAATCTGATTTCTAAGATATGATTACGGGATTTGATGATAATGGGAAACCCTTATTCAAGTAATTTTTTATTAGCTACAATTTTCCATACTTTTTTCAGGTTTTGATGGTATCAATGACATGGAGAAAACACCTCTTTAACAAGATTATATATTTTAACAACAAATTCATAATTTCAAATTTATAAACTTACCAAATAAAATGAGTGATGAAGCTAAAATACACGCTACTAGGGAATGTGTCAGTAACCAAACTATTTGAAATGATAAAGGCACAACTGCAGCTCCCATCAAAGCACAGGCCTAAAATAAAACAAAGCAAAATATTCTTGATATCTATAATTGAGTGAGAATTTTTCAACTGAAATTTCCATTACTTTTCAGAAAAACGTTAACTAGTCAAATTATACTATTTGCAAAGATTCTGAATACAGTTTTCAAGAATTATTGTTAGCAATATTTGTTGAAACTCCTTAGGATTTCATGGGTTCTTTTACAAAAGCCATAAGTTTACATTCTAATGTTGATTATTCTGATTTCTAAAACAGTATAAACTGAGCTTAATATAATAATGTATTGTTATGCCAATAATAATACTTACCACTCTCATGCCAACATATTGTGTATCATCATATGGATCTCCTGGTTTACTGAAAGGGAAACTTCCATCATACCCTGTTAAAATACCAGCTAATCCTATCATCATCTGCAAATAGACAAATTAAAATTTAATTCCATAATCTTGAGTTTTCACACTGCATGTAAACTATGATGATACAGTGGCTTCCATTTTGAACATTTTAGATAAGAATATTTGTTGTATTCATGCCCTAAAATACACCAGAATAATCATAATTGGACTTAAAACTGAAAAAATTAAAACAGTTAAAGCAAAATGCGTGTTGTTGCTATTTTGTAAACCATGTTCAAGTAATGTGGACACAGAATGTGTGACTTTTAAGTGCACAAACCTTGCCTAAAGGTGGATGAACGTCAAAGAAAAATGTCCTGTTAATGTACCAACTTCCCATTTTTCCAAAATGTGTTTCATCCCAACTGAAATAGAAATATTCATTAAACAGAAACATAAAAATTTACTTAAGACACAATTAATGATCAATCAGATATTAATTTAGTTACATAGATTCATACAAAATGCCATATTAGTTATTAGCGACTGGTTGGCAAAAGTTTCCACAGGAAAGTAGGCCTAGGTAACTGTCAGTGTCATAAAGAAAGATTTTTCAAATCAAATAAATAGGCTAATCAGAGCAACTTATCAAATAAGAATTCATGATCAAAATCCATCTTTAGAGTCTAAGACCTCTTCACATTAATTTTTTTAAATGCACAAACTTACCAGATATGTGATGGATTTTCAATATTGTACAGACGTGAAGCCAGGGATGCTGATGTAAATACCAGGAGACAGAAATAATAGGAGGCTGATCGTCCTATACTGTCATCATTATCATCAATATCGTCCACTTCTTGGTCATGATTTTCTTTCCCATCTACTGACTCTCTGCTCCGAGATGGGGGAGAGGCTTTCTCTCTCAAAAGAGTAGAAACATGTTTCTTCGGATCGCCATTATCATCTTGATGCAGTTTTTGACTAATTTGCTTTTCTGGAGATTTTTCATCCCCGATGAACTTGGAGCATCTTTGACGAACAGAACCTTTACCATCCATTCCGGCCTATTGAAAAGTAATCAATTTAATTTCCACATCAATTGTTTACCTCTCGCAGGTGTAATTAGGTATACGGTTATATTTTCCGATAAATCAAGACAGGTGAACAGGGGCGTGTTTTTTGTTGACACCATATGAATTATCTCCCTTAGCAACTTGTTCGAGACTATGATTTCAGACCACAAAATTAATAGTAAATAACAATTTCTTTGAACAAACAATCTGATCTTCTGGGCGATAGTTACGGACCTGAGGAGAGATTGGCCATGATGTCATAGATATGGTTTGCGTATCACATGATGCACAAATTTAGCAGTTGTAAGAATGGTCAAGTCATGCATCTGTTCTATTTTTAGCCGATCTCGATCGTCGTGCGATGACCTTGTTGAATAACTCATCTTCACTCGTCATAATTCCAGTCGACCCAGCTGTAAATGGGTACGGATAATTTGGGAAAGATCAATGCCAAGAAGTTTGGCCAAGCCAAGTAAAAGCTGGTAGAAAGGATCCTTAACTATGAACCTGTGTTGTTATCCTTGTAAAATATAGTTATTTCTTTCTTTCTTTTTATCACGGCTAAGCCTATTATTTGATCAAGAGGAATTTGTTTCGTCGTTTAACGAAATCTAAATATACAGTGGTGTAACCTATTTTCGTGGATATAAGGATTCAACACTGAATATCGTCAAAGTTAAAAAAACGAAAAAAAAATTTTATGTCTTAGATGTTTCCTCAGATATTCTACAAAATAATTAAAATTGGTTTAATTCGATTTTCTTTATGAATCCTTCACTTTGACCAATATTTCATGAGCAACCAACTCGGCAATGGCGGCAGAATGCGTCACTCATTTTCGTGTACAATGTTTGATCTATAAATAAGTCTAGAAAAACACGTTGTATGGATACCGGGTGGTATAATTAACCTCTCTTAGTATTTATCTTTAATATCAATTCATTATAACTAGTGTCAATTCCTTCAAAGAACCATGATTTAAAAAAAAGAGTGACTGACAAAATAAGACACGTAGCGTGATTTATTGCTAAAAGTCACTGAAACAACATAAGAATACGGTCCACTTTGTGTTCCATAGAAATTTTCTGCTGACACGGAATCCGCTAGTTGATCACGTGACTTCATTCGTTGGAATATATTCTAGCAGACGACTCTTGGAATTCCGATTACAGCTTGGGATTATAAGGAAATTCGGCCGATAAAAAATGGTATCGTTTGGTAATAAGTGAAATCCGCCATTTTGTATTTGTCAAAGTATACATTATTACATTTTACCTTGCTTGAAACTACTGGATTCATTCTACTAGCTGATATTGTAGATAAAACACATGTTTATCAAAACAAACTAATGCGGAGGTCGCGCAAGGTCGCTCATGTAAATTATTAATCCTTTCCGGAAATCCACGAATAATAGGTTTCCACGAAATTAGGTTACTTGACTGTAATTAAAATAAAACAATGAAATATTTTTCTTTTCAAAGTGTTTAGGATCTTTTAAAGATACACAAAAAATTAAAAAAATTGAAGCGACGCTTGCGTACATATATCAATTTAATTATATATTTTTAAAAGCACTATAAAGTCAATCTCAGACTTTATCAATATTATTTTGATCCGACCTGCAATTGTTATTCTCAAACATTCTCAGTTTCCATCACATGTCTTATAGCATATTTAGATGTAAAAGTGTATGCACACTTTCCATAGAATAATATGAACGATTGTTTCAACAATGTTGCACATAACATGACATACTTTATAATTCCCAGTCAATAAACAAATTGTTGTTACTTATCCATTTTACAGGGCGCTTAATAAACCAATGTGAAATTAGATCAGCTGATGGGGCCTCAAGACGTATTACAATACAAAGTCAATGGCAAATTATCCATGGTCCGTCCTACTAAGGACTTAAAAAAAAAAAAAAAAAAAAAAAAAAAAAAAAAAAAAAAATGGTACGCAAGGAAGTGCTCTTTCATTTCATATGCGGAAACCATATCTTGGAACAAGCTTTAAGCCTTTCCTGAGCTAACCCTAATTGACTTTTCAAAACTAGGGTTAACCCTCGTTAACCCTAGGGTTAACCCTAGGGTTAACTCTCGCTAACCCCAGGTCTCGGTGGCCTAGTGGTTTGCGCACTTGCCTGGCGACTTTGGGGTCCCGGGTTCGGGTCCCAGTTGAAGCTTTTTTAAAAATTCTTTTTTTGCCAAGTCAAACACCGTCTTTTCTATCATTTAAAGTATAAAAAAGGGGCCTGTGAACTCTAGAATGGCGTAACCCTAGGCTTAACCAAATCGTCCACTTTAACCCCTTTGGAGCCACTGGGGTATAACTTGTTTCGGGCCCATTTAAACCCCTGTGTTATTCTTTTTTCTGTACCATTTTGTGTTGAGAAGATGCGCAAGGAAGTGCTCTTTCATTTCATATGCGGAAACCATATCTTGGAACAAGCTTTAAGCCTTTCCTGAGCTAACCCTAATTGACTTTTCAAAACTAGGGTTAACCCTCGTTAACCCTAGGGTTAACCCTAGGGTTAACTCTCGCTAACCCCAGGTCTCGGTGGCCTAGTGGTTTGCGCACTTGCCTGGCGACTTTGGGGTCCCGGGTTCGGGTCCCAGTTGAAGCTTTTTTAAAAATTCTTTTTTTGCCAAGTCAAACACCGTCTTTTCTATCATTTAAAGTATAAAAAAGGGGCCTGTGAACTCTAGAATGGCGTAACCCTAGGCTTAACCAAATCGTCCACTTTAACCCCTTTGGAGCCACTGGGGTATAACTTGTTTCGGGCCCATTTAAACCCCTGTGTTATTCTTTTTTCTGTACCATTTTGTGTTGAGAAGATGCGCAAGGAAGTGCTCTTTCATTTCATATGCGGAAACCATATCTTGGAACAAGCTTTAAGCCTTTCCTGAGCTAACCCTAATTGACTTTTCAAAACTAGGGTTAACCCTCGTTAACCCTAGGGTTAACCCTAGGGTTAACTCTCGCTAACCCCAGGTCTCGGTGGCCTAGTGGTTTGCGCACTTGCCTGGCGACTTTGGGGTCCCGGGTTCGGGTCCCAGTTGAAGCTTTTTTAAAAATTCTTTTTTTGCCAAGTCAAACACCGTCTTTTCTATCATTTAAAGTATAAAAAAGGGGCCTGTGAACTCTAGAATGGCGTAACCCTAGGCTTAACCAAATCGTCCACTTTAACCCCTTTGGAGCCACTGGGGTATAACTTGTTTCGGGCCCATTTAAACCCCTGTGTTATTCTTTTTTCTGTACCATTTTGTGTTGAGAAGATGCGCAAGGAAGTGCTCTTTCATTTCATATGCGGAAACCATATCTGGAACAAGCTTAAGCGTGAT